GAATTGCTCTAGCAGCGTAGGGTTTCAAGACCACCAAGACCTCCAAACACGCTGTCGTCTACGGGTCTGTGAAGGCCGGGGAGGCTGGGGTGACCGCTGAAACCCTCACTCTGCCGCTCAAGGGTGGGAGTCCAGTCCAACTGGACCTCAAAGGTGCACACTGGTGGCTGGGGCTGATGCGGTCGGGCGGGGGACCTCAACCTCGAAAAGGTCATGGGTGCACGGCTGGGCGTAACTTCCGCGCAGTGTGCTTCCTTGGTGGGGCATGTTTCTGCTGGAGTTTTCCCGCTTGCAGTGGCTGCCCACATCTTCGAATCCCAGGTAGAAGGGGCGCTGCGCTTCGGACTGTGGCTGTGGGCAGTGACAGAAGGGGCGGCAGGCAAGTTGGAGCAGAGATAGGGCGGTTGGGCACGAGCTTTCCTAGGCGCCCCGCCCTGGCGACAGTCGGCCATGGCTCCCTCGGAACTGGGTTGATCGCTAAATGGTCCTGCTCGGGCCGTGTATGAGGTTGCCTCCCAGCACGTTGGTCTTTGGCGGCGTCCAGAGGAGGAATCTCTACAGGAGGATTTCCTACGTGTCCATGGGTCCGGGGGGGCGTTCCTGGGCACAGCGCTCGCTCGCTCTGCTCGATGTTTGGTCCGTCTCCGATTGGCCGGCCTGGGAGGAGGCGCGCGCTAGACAGCCCCTGCACCGGTACTGCACCAGCGCAAGTTGCAAGTTGTGCGTGCGAGCGCACTTGAAGGAGCGCTGCGAAGCGGAGCTGCGGCGACAAACTGGCCTTCGTTCGAGGCCGTCCCCAGTCCTCAGCTTGGGGCCCGCCCCTCGGCCTGATCTCGCCCAGTCTCTCGAGCGGGGTCTGCCCTTCGCAGTCCTGCCCGGCCAACGCTCCCTGAGGAGGCGACGAGAACGACATGTGGTTTTCAGCCAAAGCTCTGAAACTGTCTCGACAGCGAGGAGGCAGGCCTGCGTCCTGTGCGGCGGTCAGACACTGAGCCCCGCGTTTCACGTCCCAGGGCTCTGCTCTCGCACGGGCTGCCCCAGAAATCCTTGTGGAAGGCCCGCGCGGGCTCATCCCCCTGTTCCGTGGAAGCGGCGGCCAAGGGGGTCCTATCTGCAGGCCTGGCAGACGTGGGGTGCGCGGAAGCGGCGCTTCTGGCGCTCCATGTCGAGAAGGAGGCGGATCGTTTCTGGGAGGCCAACGGTAATCGCCCACGCCAGCGGCACTGTGAAGGATTGAGTTGGAAGTCCATCCGGGCATTAAGTGGCATCCGCCTCCCAACGTTGCCACTGGGCGCCAGGAAGCATGGAATATCAATAACCTGGCCCATGGTGCACGCCTGCGCACGCTGCCAACATTGAGGCCCGCCCTCCCTCCACTTTGCCAGGCTCGCCAGGCAGGCGGGTCGGGCCCGGCAGGGTCCAAGTCTCTTCCTCCTCCTCCTCATCCTCTTCCTCCTCCTCCTCCTCCGGTCCTTCTCCTTATCAATATTTTCTCCCTGTCGCACACCAAGGCCTGTTTTTAGGGCGGGCGGGGCGTTTCGCCTGAGACCTCCTCACCAAGTATGGCCCCGAAGCTCAAGCAGTGGTAACAGTTTCACGGATTGAGGGCGGGTGGTTGTCGCAAGGTGCCTCTCGCTTCAGCGCAGCGCACATCCGCTTTAAACATTTGCAAGAGCTCCACGGATTGAGGGCGGGTCGTTTTCAAAATGTGGCTTTCGCTTTAGCGCCGCGCACACTCGTTGGAAACAACATAAGAAACAAGCTTCACGGACTGAGCGCGGGTGGTTTTCGAAATGTGGCTCTCGCTTTAACGCCGCGCGCATCCGTTAGAACAGCCTGGAAGAACTTCACGGTTTGAGGGCGGTTGCTATTCAAAATCTGGCTCTCCTCTCAGAGCCGCGCACATTCGTTTACAAAAGCTTGGAAGAGCTTCGCGGATTGAGGGCAGTTCCTTTTCAAAACGTGGCTCTCGCCTTAGCGCCGCGCGAATTCGTTTTCAAAGTTTGCAAAGCTTTACGCGGGTCGTTTTTTTAATGTGGCTCTCGCCTTAGCGCCGCGCAAACTCTTGTTAAGAATTTGCAGAAGTTTCACGGGTTCCCAAGATCATCGTACCAGAGATGGTTTCTGGGCGAAATTCAAGATTATGAAAGCGCCACAGTTACGTTGATTCGCGGTTGAAGTCCCAGGAAAAGCGTGCTGGCACGATTCAGGATCATCAAGACGCAAGAGTCAAATTGATCCGTGGCGTTGGAGTCCCGAGATTCGTGTTTTGGCTTGCTTCAGGGTCTTCAAGTCTTCCAACGAGGTAGTTCCTTCAGTGGAAATGAACAGTTGTAGGAGCCTGTGGATAGGGAGTTTGGAGGGAGGGCATGTTCCAACATCGCTGATGACTCTTAGGTTTACACTGGTCCTCCTCCTCCTCCTCCTCCTTCATCCTGTCCTCACGGGGTAGCTCCCCCTCTCCATGCCTGTCAACGTCCCGCACCCGCGGAGTGCGTCGACCAAGCAGCGCAGGTGGGAACGGACGAGCCCCAGGCAGGCGCCCCCCTGCCTGGCCTTACCCACTCTGCGGGGAGTCTCTGAGTTTCCCCTCCTGCTTCGCTCTGGCCGGCGCTTGGGGGGGAGGTGATCGCTCGAGGTGGTGCCCCCAGATGCCCATGCGGAGTTTTGGGGACCGCGCTGGACCCGCCTGGGAGCGCCTCCAAAAACCGCTGCTGCTCGTGTCGCGCGCCTGGGAGGGTGGTCCAGCGTCGCCCCAAGAATTCGCATGGGTCCCCAGGAGAGCGCTGCCTTCGCCTCCCTCTCCTCCTTCCCTCCAGCGCTGGCGGACAATCTTCCAGAGCTGTCGCAGCAAGGTCGCTTCCGAAACCCCCTCTGGCTCGCGGCCCCTTGCTGAAAGGAAGCCGCACCAAGGATTCCGCCGCCAGCTCACTGGGAGCACAACCCATCCAATTCAATCCAACCTCGTCCTCCCTCCCCGTTCTCCTCCATCCTCCTCCTCCCCTGTTCTCCCCCCTGTCCCTCCCCCTCGCCTCCCTCCCTCCCTCCCAAACACTCCCCCCCCCGCCCCCTTTTGTGGTCGACTGGAGCGGTCGAGCCCGAAGGTCCCTCGGGTCCCCTCGCGGCGGCATCCGAGCGCCCGCCTACGTCGGACCGGAGCGCCTCGCGCGCTCAGTACGCCGGCGCTCCTCAGGAGGCCCCGGCCGCCTGACGGGGGGATGCCACAAGCAAGACGAGGCCGGAGCGAGGACAAAATCCGCCATCTCCCCCTGCCCTTTCTAGACGTGAAGAAATCACGACCCACAACCAGTTTTCGGCCGTGGTTGGCTCCCGGGAGGTCTTGCTGGGCCCTGGGACTGTTCAACAAAAACGCCTCGGGAGGAAAGGCCTGTCCTGGGGCAGGGGTCCCAGACCTCTGGGGGTCGGCGTGCTCAGAAATCACGGCGCTGGGGCTCTGGGCCCAGGGCACAGGCAGGGTCCGAAAAACGTCTGCTTACTGACTACCCACCAAACCACCCCACCCCAACCCGAAGACCCGAATTTGACTCGAATTTCGGGTTGGGGGGGGTACGAGTTCCCCGACCCCCCCCCCACTGGAAATGGAGGGCAAATCGTGGCCTTCGGGTTGGGTTGGGGTGGTTTGGTGGGCGGTGACTTACAGCGTGTCGCGGCGGCGGGCAAGGGCGCAACGCCGTGCCCTGCAGGCGGGCGGCGTGCCGCGCCGCTCCGCGGGGCGAGGGGCGGAGAAGGCGGGGCGCGGCGTGGACGCTCGGGGGGCCTTCGCGCGCCGCGCCGCGGCACGGTGGGCCAGAGGCGGCGGCGCGACAGTGAAGGGGCCCTGGGACACACAGATAAATACCCATCGGACGGAAGAAGTAGGTAGAAACATGAAGTAGGAAGGCGTTGGAAATAGACTGGGTTTCCGCACGCCTCCTGAAGAGGAAGGAAGAGGGAAAACCACTCGACTCTTGAAGTAGGAAGGCGCTGAAAGTAGATTGCAATCTGGGAATCCAAAAATACCTACTTTCAACGACCGGTGGGTACACACAAATAAAAGGATTCCCCATATTTTCTCATATTTTCTTGGTTTTTGTCTTCCCCACCACTTCCCATATTTCCCCATATCTTCCTGGGAGTCGACGATTGATTCTGTCTGTGTGTTTCTTCCCCTCCTGAGACAGGCTGTGAGCGAGGGCTCCCGACCGCAGGTTCCCAGATCTCCGACGACGCGGTCGTGGCCGCGCCAGATCCCAGGATGCGAAATCTCGTCGGGTCGGGCGCCGCGGCGTGGTGGGCCAGAACTGGCGGCGCGACACGCCAAGCAAGGGTTCCCGACCGCAGATCCCCAGATCTCGGATGGCGCGATGGTTGCCGTGCCAGTCCCAGAATGCGAAATCTCGTTGGGTCGGGGGCGCGTGGAGTCGGTTCAGCGCTAGCCCGCCAGGCTAGCCAGGGCCACGTCGCGGGCTCCCACCGTGAAGCAGCTCCCGAACCTGGGTCAGCGGAGGGCGCGGAGGGGGGGGGTCAACCCAATATGACCTCCAAACCTGGGATCAGCAAGAAGAGATCGGAGGAGGTTGGGCGAACCCCGTTAGCGCTGACACCCTGCTGGCTGTCGGCCTGGACCACAACTCGGGCCTCAGGCGGCCGCTCGGGACACCGGAGCGCTCACGACGAGGCGCAGCTACGGGAAACCACACTGGGCCCCAGAAATCCCCGAACACTTTTTACCTGTCAAAGACAATTCGATTCTGCGCTGACCCCCATCCCAGATTCAGACGTCGCGCATTTTTTTCGCAAAGTGGCTCCCCAAACGACTGAAACCCTTCTCGGGGACTGGCTTTACGTCTTCAGGTTTTGTTGACGGCCCCTAGAGGCAACAACTGCCAAAAACTGTCCGACGCTGTCCTTTCTCGACGCGAGGATGTGAAGGGTCACGTGCGCCCCTGACATCCTCGCGTCTTGAAGGAAAAAAAGGGGTCACGTGCACCCCGAGTAGGTGAGGGGCAACGTGAGGGGGGGACCTGCTCAGGGGAGGGAGCGTCGAACTGGAACCTGTAACACGTCGCCGATAGATCGGCGACAAGCCCCCGATAGCGAATCCGCACGTTCCTGGGAGGGGTGTGCTACCTGGCCCGTATCGGCGATCAATGGGCGATTGGGGGTCGATGCGTGCCCCTGACGTTCGACTCCGACCTGGATCCCCCCGCAGGCCGTTCTGGAAGCTCGGGGCACTTCAGGAACGCTCACCCCGAGGCTGGAAAACCGCAGAGAACCGACGAAACCGCCCAAACCAAAACTCAAACCTCAGAAACTTCGAAACCTCGTCCCCCCTGGGCCTTTCCCCCCACCAGCGTTGCACCTGAGTGAGCCGGGCTCCTGCTGACCCGGGCCACTGCAAACCCTGGTCAGTCAGGCTGCACAGGATCCTGGGAAATCCTGCAGGATCCTGCGCGCTAGCCCGGGTCAATTTAGCGGCGCGCAGAAGGGAGTAGGGGAGAGGGGGGAAGACCTCTTAGAAGGCGGCTGCTTCTTTAGAAGGCGCCGGCGCTACATCTATAGACGAGGCCCGCGCCTTCTACGAAGCAGGGGTGCTTCTAAGAAGCCTTCCCCCCTCCCCCGTCCCCCCCCCTGCGCGTGGCCGATCAATTCAACCCAGACATGCGACGTCCTGATTTTTTCAGCACGGCGTCCCCAGAAGACCCGACTCGTTCCCCGGGGCCGGTTTTTCATCCTGAGTCGTCTTTTTATGGTCCCGAGGCCCGGCGAGGGTCCCCCGAGGCCTCCGAAATTGGCAAAAAAAAAAAAAACCGCCCTGATTTCCGACGACGCGATCATGTCTGGGAACCCTGGCCTCGCAGGATCCTGCCACAAAGCCGGCGCTCTGGCGGACTCCCCGTGTGCACCAGCCCCCGCCTCTACCAGCGCCAGCTGACGTATCGGGAGCGGCCAAGAGGGGGGTGTCCAAGAGGGGGGGGGGTGCAAATCATGACCGGCGGCATGCGCGCGGCCCAGGGGGGGGGGGCAGGGACGTGATGAAACAAGAAGAGGCGCCATGAGATCTGAGAAAATATCATGGCCCCCGCCATGATATCCCCCCCCCCCCTAGTCATCACCCCCCTCCTTTCCGCCCCCGGCATACGCAGGGGCCCTGGCCTGCAGGCCCGCCCTCGGCGCCCCTCGCGCTCCCAGCGCTGCCCCCCCCTGGCGGCCTTCCTCGCCTCGCGCACGACCCGCAGCAGCTTCTTCCGCTGCTTCTCGGTGAACTGGGCGGCCAGGCCCTCGAGCCCGGCCTCGCGGAGACCGGGGAGGGGGGCATGGCGGCCCACTCGGGGAGATACAGTCATCGGCCTGACCTAAGGAACGATAAATAAGGAACGAAGCCCCTTTTTAATCCCAAGGAATAACGCATAAGTAACGATAACTAACAAATAACGCATAAGGAACTGCAAATAACGCATGCAAACCTAAGGAACGACCGAGCCCCTTTTGAAAGGCAAGGGTTCCTTATTCAAGCCGCTCACTGTACGAAGGCGGGGCGTCCATCCTCGATAGGGCTGCGTCCGCATGGCCCCGCAGGGCAGGCGCCCCAAGAATCGGATCGAGGAGTCGGGTCGGCGATCGAAATGAATCGGATCGGCGGACACCGGCAGCCGGGCCGGGAAAAGTCGGATCGGCAGAACTCGGCAGGCCAGCAGCAGGTCAGAACGAGACCACACGCAAGGCCGAGTCTTCTTCTTCTTCTTCTTCTTCTTCCTCTTCCTCTTTCTCCTCCTCTCCTCTCCTCCGCCCTCCTCGCATGCGTGCCTCTGCTCGCCACATGTCGTCATCACGATCTTCATTGCCAGTATATTCATCATCCCCATCCTCATCATTAGCAGCAGCAGCATCATCCTCATCCTCATCCTCATCCTCATCCGCATCATCATCCGCATCATCAGCATCGCCATTAGCAGCATCATCACCACCATCATCATCACCACCATCATCATCAGCATCATCCTGCTTCTCCTCTTCCTCCTCCTCATCATCATCACCATCATCATCACCATGATCATCATCGTCATCATCATCGTCGTCATCATCATCATCATCATTTCCATCGCCATCATCAGCAGCAGCGCCATCATCATCAGCATCAACATCATCTTCATCAGAATCATCATCATCAGATTCATCATGATAATGAGCACCATCACCATCACCAGCATCGCCATCATCAGCATCATGATCACCATCACCATCACCACCAGCAGCAGCAACAGCATTAGCATCAGCAGCAGCATCAGTATCAACATCACCATCAGCCCTCACACATTCCGTGGCCCCATAGGGAGCTCAACGAACGGCCTGTGGCTGCGTTCGCATGGCACCGACACGTCCTCGTCGGCACACACACACACACACACCTGACACGCTTCGTGGCCCCATAGGGAGCTCCGCCAAAGGCCCCAAGGCTGCGTTCGCACGGCACCACAGAACACATGTGGGCACATCCCTCAGAAGCTTCGAGGCCTCATGGGGTGCCCCACCGAGGGCCCCAGCGGCCACTTTCGCGTGGCACCGCCGCACCCGTGCCGGCACAGCCCTTCTACGCGTCGCGGCCCCATTGGGAACTCCGCCCCCGAAGGCCCCAGCGGCTGCGTTCGCGGGGCCCGACCGCACCCATTGCGGCACACACCTCACGCGCTTCGTGGTTCCAGAGGGCGCTCCAGCGGAAACGGTACGCACCCACGACGCAGCACTCACAACTGCACCTGTCTGGGCAATTCGCCGTGACGCTTGTTCTTGCCTGCAGCGCGGCAGCTCCGCGCGCGACCCTCTCTCGCCCCGCGGATGCGGCAACTCATGGGAGCCTCCCATCGTGCAGGCTCCTGCCAGTCGATGCTCATCGATGCTGATCGACACTGGACCGGCACATTCTCATCGATTTCCAGACGCTTGCGCACAGTTGTGCGCTCAAAAAAATGGAGGAAGGGCACACATCGAATCGAATCGTTCGAACCGAAAATGGGCCCTGTATGCTGCACTTTGGGATGACGAGGAGCTCGAGAAGGAAGACACACATCAGAAGAAGAACCCGTCTCGTGCTCGCCCGCGCGCCTCCCCGACGCGCAGCGCCAGCCTCCCTATCCCCTCGGAGGTGGCTTGGTCGACCATGTCCGTCTGGTAGACGTCCACCAGTATGGCCAGCAGCCGGGGCATGTTGGCTCCTGGACGCACGCTTCCCTCGAACAAACCATATCGTGTCCTCCTCGTCATCCTCGTCCTCCTCCTCCTCCTCCTCCTCATCCTCCTCCTCCTCTCCCTGCTGGCAAAATGCACCAGGCGAGACTGGAGTTACGCGAGGGCCAACTGCAATGGCCAAGCCCATGCGCGAAACCTTGGCCTGTGCAATCAATCCACGCCGCGCGTCCGCTCCTAGCAGAGCTGCAGGGGTGCCCCGTGAACTCCGGGATCCAGGATCTTGCATGTTTTCGGTCCTCCTTTGGCCCTCCCTCCGCGGGTCTGCACGGGCCTCCGCGGTCACCTCGCGACCTCGCGGGGGCCTCCATGGACCTGCGGAAATGGTCAAGGGCCCTCTCGGGCCACGACTCTGGCGGAAACCTGGCGGTGCGCAAAGAGTGGGTGGCGCGAGGGGGCGACTTGCTAAGAAGGCGAGGGGCCTTATCAAGAACCGCAAGCGGCGCCTTCGGGGGGACGAGGGCGTGGACTGCGAGGGGTCAAACGCCCTCTGGGACCACGGCTCTGGTGGACACCTGCCAGCGCGCACAAAACGGGGTGGCGCGAGCGGGCGACTTGCTAGGAAGGCGGGGGGGGTATCAGAAGCCAGTGACCCGTTAAGAGGGATCTGTGAACTTCAAAGAAACCTTACACACGTCTCGTCATGGTTGCTGCAACGACGCAACAACCAAGTCGCGCAGCAGGCAACTGGCCCCCGCCCTCCAAAAGTGAGGCCCGCGTATCGAGGTGCACGGGCGGGGGGGGCCCTCAACAAAGAGTGCCCCATGCGCCTTCCGACTTTGAAGAAGCCCCTTCAAAGATGCCTGACTGTCTCGAGCCAGCCAGCTGCGCCGCGTCAACTGCGATGAGACTCGTAGGCCCCTCTAAGAAGGCCCCTGGGCCCTTCCAAGAGGGCCCGCGCCTTCCCGGGAGGCCACCCCATTCGCGACACACGAAGGGTTCAGGACCGCCCCGCCCCAGGTCCACGAATCTGGCAGAAACCGGCGCGTGCCCACCTCCCCACAAGAAAAGACCTCACCTCGGCACCACGAAGAGGGCTCGGCCGAAGCTCCCGACAGTGCCCACGTCAAGCGCGCACCACGCAAGAGGGGGGTGAGTTCTTGATCATGCGGCGGGTTCCTGTCGTCACGCCTGATGCGTTGGCTCCTGACAGCGCGTGCACCGCTCAACCTTGAATGATCTAAAAGCCTCCTAGGTGGGGTCGGAGTAGATGGGGTCGGAGGATCGCGACGCATCGCCGATACATCGGCGATGCATCGGCGATGCATCAGCAATGCACTGGCGATGCATCGCCGACGTGGGCGATGCATCGGCGACGCCAGCGTGGAGAAAATCGGGCTCCGCATCGCGCCGCATCGCCGATGCATCGGTGGTGCGGCGCGATCCTCCGACCCCATCTGCCCCGACCCCCATCTGCCCCGACCTCCTCCTCCTCCTCCTCCTCCTCCTCCTCCTCCTCCTCCTCCTCCTAGGAGGCCCAGATGATCGCACCTTTCCTGATGGCGCGGCTCGCTCGACGCCGGCCGATCCCAGGCCACCGGCGGCACTCCACCTGGAACGCCCGCGCCAGGCCGCCGCAGGGCCGCCGCAGGGCCGACACGGCGCGACCCCGGCCGCACGCGGCCTCGGCTGGCAGTGCCCCCCGCGGCTCCTCCGGCGCCGACGACCTCGGGCTTCTCCTGGCAAGTAGGAGGAGGGGGGGTCCTCCTCCTCCTCCTCCTCCTCCTCCTCCTCCTCCTCCTACTCCTCCTCATCCTCCTCTTCGTCCTCCTCCTCAGCCTCCACCTCCTTCCCCACTCCGACTTATGGTGGTGGTGGTGGTGGTGGTGGTGGTGGTGGTGGTGGTGGTGGTGGTGGTGGTGGTGGTGGTGGTGGAAAGCACGCCCATGATCTCCTGCTCGACCAGTCTCAGCAGCGTCTTGTGGTTCCTCTCGCCCTCCTCGTCGTCCACCTGGCAGGGCAGCCCGCCGAGCCACACGGCCCAGAGCTGGGCCTCCGTGGCCGCCACGGCCGGCTGGTGGTTCAGCAGGATCGCGACCAGGGCGCTGAGGGCGTTGTCCGCGACGGCCTGAAGAGGAACGCGCAGCGGCATAGCGGCATAGACATAAACTGTCGGAGGTCCGCGCGGATTTCTGGGAACCGCGCTGCTCTTGTCGGGGGGAACGAAAGGGGGGGATAGCAAAGGGCAGGGTAGAGAAGCAGCTCACGTAGCTGATTTTCCCAGCGCCTCCGCGCGCCGGGAGGCGCCCATGTATCGAGGAATGGGCCCTTCGGCGGGGCCGAAACCAGCTGCATGCAGCAGATTTCGTAACCCCCCTTTCCCGATCCCCCCCTTTCACTCGGCCCGAACCCGCCTCCCTCACGCGCGGAGCGCGCCGGGTGCAGCGCCGAGTGCGGCGCCGTCCGAGAATCCGCGCGGAGTTCCGAGAGTCGGTGCAGCCATTTGTTCTTCGAGGCCTGGGCCGGCCTCTCGGACTTCTTCTTGGCCTTCTGCCTGGCCTTCGTTATCACCTCAACGCAGCCCACGGCGACAGCAACACCGAAAACCGACCGAAGCGGTGGCGAAACCGGCACCGACCGAAATCGACAAGGCTCGGAGCGACGCGGCAACGACACAAGATCCGACCGAGCCGGGCCGACCCAACGCAGCCGACTGCGGCACTGCCGAACGGACCGGACCATTGAACACCCTCGCACCTCCACGAGCTCCGTCGCAGCGGCGGCCGCGATCTCGGAGAAGGCGGGGTCCCTGGCGGCCAGCGAGATGCCGTAGCAGGCGGGCTGCCTGAGCTCCGCGGACTCGTGGCGCACGTCCTGCAGCAGCTTCGGCATGAACTGGGGCCTGCCCCTCCCTCTCCATGTCCCCCCCCCTCTGTGCTCCCGTCCCCTGCCACCCCCTTCCTCCTCGCCTCTGGCAGCAAAGTGCAGGGAGCAGGAAGGATGCAACAGTCTATCAACTCGAGCCTGCAAGACAATCCTGGGGCCTAGGATGCCCTCGTAATGCCAGCCGCCGCCGCTAAGACAAGGGCGCCGGCGCCGTTACACCAGGGGCCTGCCGTAGTTCTAGTCTTGAGGAGGCCTGGCCAGCGAGTTCACACCAAGGGTCGGCAAAGCCCTGGGCGGGCGTTTCTGTCCCGTGTCGAGGACTTCCAACGAACACCGCACAATAATATCATATACCATGCTCGTTGTCGTTGCCATCCTTATCATCATAATATACACCGTCATCACGTATCACCATCACCGTCACCAACATCATCATCGTCATCGGCATCACCATCGTCATCATCAACAACAGCAGCAACACCACCAGCATCACAACCATCATGATAATCATCATCATCACCATTATCATCATCATCTCCATCACCATCATCATAAGCATCATCGCCATCGCCGTAATCACTACTCATCATCACAATTACGAGCATCCTCATCACCACCAACATCAGCTGAAGCAGCATCACCATCATCAGCAAAGTCGTCACCATCATCATGATCATCACCACCATCAGCAACAACATCAAGTTAAACACCATCTTCATCATCGCCAACATCAATGAAACATCATCATCGTCATTGTCTGCATCATCGCCGCCGTCGTCGTCGTCGCCGTCGCCGTCGTCGTCGTCGCCGCCATCGCCATCACCATCACCATCACCGTCATCGTCGCCGTCACCCTGAACATCATCATCATCATCATCATCATCATCATCATCATCATCAGCAGCAGCAGCAGCAGCAGCAGCTAAAGCAGCAGCTACAGCAGCAGCATTATCATCAGCAGCATCATCATGCTGATCTCCACTCCCCACCCAAGCCAATGGGTGGTCACCCTGGTGCCCAGGTGCTCCAAGAAATCGCACGTGACGAACAGGGACAGCTTTCTGTCCTCCCTGTCGGCGGACTCGAACAATCTCAGCACCAGCGACAAGTAAGACTGGAAGCACTGCTGCACGAAAGCGGCGGGGTGGTGCTCCATGATGGCACCCGCGATCTCCGCGAGCGCGACGCGAAGGTTCGTTTCCTCGGCCTCATGAGCAATGTCAACCGGAGCCACTGCTACGGGGGTTGCCACCCCCTCCAGGAAACGGACCCCCCCCAGAACCCACAGGACTCACCAAGGCGCCCAACTACGTCCAACACATCCTCGATCCCCGTTCCCCTTCGATCCTCCTCGGTTTCCAAGAGGAGGCGGTGACACCCCTGCCGTAACCCCTCCTTGGCACTGCCCGAGCCTCGTCCTCTTCATCTCTGCCGCCATCCTCGTCTTCTGGAAGCTGCACTCCTGGGGGCGGGCCCTTCGCCGCCTGGTCGCGGCGCTGCAGGGACTCGCCCAGGTAGCGCATGGCTGTGCTGCCGATGTGCTCAACCTGCTCCATGGACAGGATGTCCGGGCCAGCCTTCTTCAAGCAGCATGTCACGCCATCGGCTCTCGACTTCAAGGCAGCGACGTCGATCTCCGCTTCTTCGAACTTGGGGAGAATGCGCTTCAAGAACTCCATGACGAGCTCACTGGCCACCTGCACCTGGCCGCCGTCCCGTGCGCACTGGCAGAGCTGGCCCCAGGTCTCGTAGGCGAGCGACCGTATGCCCTCGTCCATGCTGAAATCAAACCTCGGTGCCCAAACGATCATACACCTGCGCGCTCCTCCTGGTTTAGACGAGAGCGTCCCAATACTCGCAAAGTAACTACTCGCAAATGGCCTGGATCCCCCGCGGAGGATCTACAATAAATTACATCAAGGCGGACATGCGTTTTTCGGACGTCTGCGAGTAGGCACTTTTCGAATAGTGGAACGCGCTCGGTGATGGTCACATGATCCGTTCACGCTTCTAAGAATCGGAAACGGCGATTGCTGCTGCTAGCGCATGCAGTTGCTGACACAGGCACGTCATGACGCACGCGTGCCACACTGCGCCGCATCGTTGCAGTACCTGGCGTACCCCCCAGGTGGCTGATGTATACATCCACCAGCTTGGAGGTGGGACTACCCTGCCATGCAATATGGCAGTTTCGGGGCTCGTCAAATCCTTCTAGAACGCACGACCTGACATCGTGCGACAGATGCTCCTGCTGGTAAGACGTACTCTTTCCCTGCTGCATCCAGGCGACCGTTGACCGTTGACCGGGCCAAACCAGGAACCATCCACGCATCGGAATGGTGAATGATGATGCGCCAACGCCCCCCTCAACATGTTCCAACAAGTTGGAAAACCTATGATCTGTCTGGAGTGGTGTCAAACGCTTTTTTTTTTTGAATGGCGCCAACCCCCGCCCGCTAGCGATCCCCCTCCCACTGAGTGGGACAAGACCGCCCCAAGAGAACCCCAAGAAAGCCCCGAGACCCGACCAGACGGCTCTCCGCGATGGCACCAGGAAGCTGGAACACGCCTTAACTTTTTACCATCCAGCGGAGCCCTGTGGCAGAGAGGCAGGAGGGGGCGGGGGGGAGGGAGCGGGGGGGGGGAGGGAGAGGAGGGAGAGGAGGGAGAGGACAGGAGAGGAGGGAGAGGAGAGGAGAGGAGGGAGAGGAGGGAGAGGAGGAGGGGGGGGGGAGGTCCAGGCGCGCGGCCCGCAACCCGGCAGCATGCACTTCCTCGGGCGGGCCTCCCGGCGAGCCTGGAGGGCGCCCCGCCACGCCGCCTCCGCGCCGCCCGCGCGCGCTGCCGGGAGCAGGAGCACACACACAGACACACACAGACACACACACAGACACACACAGACACACACAGACACACACACACAGACACACACACACACAAACACACACACACATGCACGCGCACACACACAGACACACACACACACGCACACACACACAGACACAAACACACACACACACACAGACACACACACACAGACACAAAACACACACACACACACACACACACGCGCGCACACACACACCACACACACATGGCTTGTTCACATGCGGAACATCCGGAGGCCGCGCGTTGGATGCACACGCAAAATGCCCTGCGCGCCCGGCCAGAGAAGGGCGGAGCGCTGGAGAGACACCTGGCCACGTCATGTGTATCCGACCCTCGCCCAGGGCCGGCCGTGGGGAAGCCGACCTATACCATATACCGGCATTGCTACTCCCCTGACCTCTCCTGAGAATCTCCCGGTGTGCGCTCTGACCAGAGTTTCGAAACGAATCCAGCCGTGGAGACGAAGGCCTCCCAGGAGACCCCAAAAGGCGAAAACGAGAGAAGGGTAGCGGTATCGGTACGAACGTGTCGACTGCACAACATGTGCGACTGCAGTCGGCGGCCGGGCCGCCAGCGCACACTAGGAGCCGCACACCGGCAGCAGCGCGTGAGCTGTCTGCGCCACGAAGGGGGCGTAGCCCTTGCGCAGCTCCTCTGACGGCCACCACGGGACGCACGGGATCACCATCACCACCGCTGGTTGCGAAATGAGCGCCCGTGCCGGCGCTAGGTAACAAGACATCGACGGGAGGCGACGGGCCCCTCGCAAGAGTGGGCATTATATCTCGCAACGCTTCACGCTCCCCTCCGACACGGTCGCCCGCCAACTGTGAGATACAAGGTGTCAAAGGGGGAGCCTTTCGGCATGTCTACTGGCGGGCGCTTATTCTGCAAACGACGGTGCTGGTTAGCCTCAGAACGTGTTAGCGCCAGCGTGCCCTTGTCCACCGAAGCCCATCAGTACGACGCGAGCGGTGCGACGAGGTTCGACACAGGCTGCGGGCAGTCGGTGGGGCTCAACGAGGACACGCATTGAGCTAGCACATGTACTGACGACTCGAACGTTACTGAACCTCGCCAGTCTAAGACGAAGGCAGCACGAGGACAAATTCGGATGGAGGTAATTACACGGAGATCTCTGAGAGCAGGCGCGCCTGGAGGATCTATCGGACGCCGCGGCTGCTAAGCTGAGAGCTCTGAGAAGGCCCCAGACCGCTCTGGAGCGATCTGTCCGCATCCGAGGCCTGCCTGATTAATGAGCACACGTGCTTGTAAAAATGTATCGAATCGTGTGGCCGGTATCGGAAATCCCGACCCCCACAACATGTTGCCATCTCTTGGGGACTCATGTTCTACTCCCGCCGGCCTTCTGCCGTCTTCCGCCAGCGGAGCCGGCCTCGTATTACTTCCGCCGCCTTCCGCCACCTTCGATCCTCGCAGGCGAGGCCCTTCCTGGAGTGCCCCTTGTGATCTGAGCGTCCGCCGCGCCGCAGCCGAGCTGAGCTCGGCCCCGCTGCCCTGCGCAGGCGGAGCCGTGCTCCGCAACGCAAGGCAGATCTGAACCGACCAAGCCAAGCGAGGCCCATGAAAGCCATGGGTAACCGTGGACAGAGCTACAGTCATCGTGCTACCATAATGAAGGGGCCCTGGGCCACACACATAAATACACACAGATAAAAAAGATTCCCCATCTTTTCCTGTATTTTCTAGGTTTCTGTCTTCCCCCCTCACTTCCCATATTTTCCCGTATTTTCGGGGGAGTCGAGGATTCATTGTGTCTGTGTGTTTCTTGTCCTCCTGACAGAAGTGGAGCCAAATTACGGGGCAGAGGGGCTTTTCCGGCCACGGCGAGCCCTGACCACGAGCAGGTTCCCCGACTGAGATCGGAGCGAGGGGTCCGAGGTCAGGAGGGAAACAAAACAGACAGACACAATTAATCGTCGATCCCCCAGAAAATATGGGAAAATATGGGAAGTGGGGAGACGAAAGTCAAGAAAATATGGGAAAATATGGGGAGTCCTGCTACTTTTGTGTGTATGTGCTTGTGTGTGTGTGTGTGTGTGTGTGTGTGTCCGGGCCCCTTCACGAGGGCCGAGGCTTCTGGAGCGAGAGGCTCCCCGAGGCTTCGCAGGGGAGAGCCTCCCCTCGGCCCACAGCGGTCCGATGCTCCGCGTCTCGACTGTCATCAAGGGGCCCAAGGACACACAAATAAAGACACACGAATGAAATGATTTCCCACATTTCCCTATCTTTTCTTGGTCTTTGTCTTCCCGCCCAATTCCCATATTTTCTGCGGAATCGAAGATTTATTGTGTCTGCGTGTGTGTGTGCTAATTTCCCCACATGATGGAATCGGGGCGCGCTCCGTGGACGGAGCTAACTCTCAAGAGGCAACGCCTTCGACCGAGCTTTTGCGCCCAGCGGCATGCGCGCGCGCTGCGGGCAGAATCAGACACACCGAACCGCTGCTTCACATGTCGTCGTAATCGGCAGGCCTGGGGAAAGAAGGGGGGGAAAACAAACCTACCTCGCTTTTGACCACCCTCGCTTCCAAGATATACCAAGCGATGCCAAACTACGGCCTGTACTGGTCAGGCCCCTTGACGAGGAGGCGCGTGGTATGATTTGGGTTTTCCTGGAAACGAAAGCGGGGTAGGTAATTCACGCTCTGAAAGAAGGGGGGGGGCTTCTTTTTCCACTTTTCGAAACTCTTTGCTTTGTCCTCCTCCCCCTGGGGGGGGGGGCGGATTTCCCCCGTTACCCCCCCCCCCCGGGGGGTCGGATTTCCCCCCACCCTCGAGTTAGTTGCTTGCTCCCCTCCCCTCGGGGTGGGAGGGGGAGGGGGGGGCGGATTTCCCCCGTTACCCCCCCCCCAGGGGGTCGAATTTCCCCCCACCCTCGAATCAGTTGTTTGCTCCCCTCCCCTCGGGGTGGGAAGGCCTCGGGCTGCGCGCAGAGATCGTCCCTCCAGCTGGTGCCGGCTGGCCTCGACAGGCCCCCCGAGCCGCCGGGGGCGGTCTCCAAACCCCCAAGCCCCGGGGCGCGGAGCGCCCCAGGGGGCGCCGCCGGAGGCAGCGACGGGGTGGCGAGACCGCCCCAGGCTGCCATGCTCGGGGGGCCTGTGGAGGCCAGCCGGGGCCACCTGGGGGTGTGCTGTCTGCGCGAAGCCCGAGGTCTTACCCTCAGCGCCCCTCGTAACGGGGACTCCACCAATGGGTACTTTGGCCAGTGACCCAGCGATTCCAACCCTTCCCGATGTGGGCAAAGCTGCAATGCAAGAAAAAGGCCCTAAAGTGGCAACTTTCGGCAAAATTTCAAAGTACCCGTTAGTAAGTACCTACCCGTTACGGTGCCGTTGATGCCCCCTCGGTCGGCGTTTCCCGGAGGCCCGATGCTGCACGAACCTTGACCCCCGCGTGCGGCAATTCGACCGGGGCCCCGGACCCCACCTGCCCGCTGCATGCTTCGAGTCGGATCGACCTGTGAGGGCGCCCGGGGCCCGGCACATGGCGAAATCGCCCGTGGCGAGAAAAAAATGCCTCGGGGCTTTGTCTTGTTGGTCCCCTCGGTGCTCTTCGTCCCCATCTCCACGGGGGCGGGGGGGGGGGGCGAGAGCGGGGCTCCTGCACGAACGTGTGCACGGCCTCCAGGGCGGCCTGGAGGTCCTGCTTGTCGGAGGCGTACATCACCAGCACCTTCACCTTGACCGGGCGCCCACTCACTCCTTCGGCCATGCCCTCCCCCCCCTCACCCCCTCGTCGCGAAAAATCGCGACAGGAGTTTGCTTTTCTCCAGTCTCCAGCCGCCAGAGACCCTCGCGGGGCCCCAGGGCCGTCAAGAAACGACCCGGGATGGAACAGTGGTCCAGGGGAAGGTGTCCAGACCTCTGGGGGTCGACGTTGCTGTGAACAGAAATCACGACGTCGGAAACTGGGTGCGCCCTTCTGCAGTCCTGGCCACTGCGAGCCTCGGCAATAGGCAGGTTCCCCGACCTGCACCGGAGGAACGGCCCGAGAACCAGATCACCTCCTGCGCTAAAGAGTGGTCCTTACCAGCGTTTGGACTGCAGGGTCTTGAGGCAGATCCACCCCTCAAGTCGGCGCGAGGAGATCGCGGTGTGGCCGATGAAGAGAGCGGAGAGCATCGTGGCCAAACACCACACCCGTAATTATCCACGGCCTTGCGGGCCTGGCCCCTGGGCCGCGACCCCGTGGATACGGCGCGTTTTTTCGCGGATGCCCCGCGCGGAACGTATCTAAGCGACCTCGTATCCACGGGATCGCGTACACCCCGCAGGAAACCGTTTCCCCCACCCATGACTATGTCCTCTATGAGGTGGGCTGGCGCTGCCCACCGCCCTCCTCGGCAGAGGAGGGGAGGATAGAGGGATCGAGGGCAGAAAAAGACACCCAAGCGATCAGCACCCCGACGAACGACGCCCCGTCGCAAACGCGCCACAGGAGGGGATTGGACGGGGCAGGGCTGGTCCGCAAACGCGCGGAAAAGGCCGAGCAAACGCAGATCACAAGGGTCGGGGGTGCTGTCTCCTCCCTCGAGGGAAGGGCTGGGGGGGAGCGGTCGCAGCTCCCAGCCTTGCCGTTCTCCTGGGTCAGCGTGAGGTCGACCTCGCCCTCCTTCAGGTCGCCAAGGTTGTCCAGCCCGTCGGCCCACTCCTTGGGGCCCAGCGTCAGCTTCTCGACGATCGAGGGCAGGACGTGCGGCACGAAGGGCAGGAAGTCGTCCTTCATCGTGCTGCAGATGCGCTCGGCGGCGGCCAGCATGTACTCCTTGACAGGGTCTGTCGGGGGCAGGTTGGGCACCTGCGTGGCTCTGATCATCGCCTCCATGAACGCCTGCGCGTCGTTCTTGAAGCCCTCCTTGCCGACCGCCTTCCCCAGGAGCGACATGCACTCGAAGCACTTCCCGAGCAGCATGCGCTCCTCGACCTTGTCCAGCGTGCGCTGCACCACGGCCTGCAAGGCGGGCATGAGCTGCGGGTAGTAGGGCGCGAACGTATCGCCGACCTGCGAAGCGACGACAGCGACGAACGTGATGGCCTTCTTCTGGAACAGTGGCTGCTGCAGCTTCACGCCCAGCTTCTCCATGAGCATCGGTACAAATGGCTCCATGTCTTCTCGCTCGATGGACTCACCGTAGTGCTGGAACGCCTCCATGCTTCGCAGGATGACCTTGGGACAGGTGTCGTCGAAGACGGCGATGAACTTGGGGACCAGCTGCGCAACCCACGCTTCTGTGCAGATCGTCTCGCTGTGGTCCTGGGTGCACGGAGGGGGAGGGGGCGGAGGTGGGGGAGGAGGAAACGGGGAGGAGCTGAGGAAGAGGAGGAGGGACAACATAAGAGGAAGGAGCAAGCGGCGCAAACATACACTTCGAATGTCCGCGCGGATTTCTTGGATCGTCGCTGGATCCCCCTGGCGCGCCAAGGGCGGCGCAGGAGGCGTCGTTAGGGGGATTCGGCGCCGATCCAATAAATCAGTGCGGACCTCCCAAAGATTGTGTTCATTTCTATAATCAAGTTTTGCCTGAGGGGCTTCTACTTGCTTTGTGCAAGAAACTTAGGGACGCATCGCATCCCGAGGCGTTGCTCGGTTTCCTTGGTCTGGGTTCCTCATTGGCGGCGCTCGGCGTTGCCCGTGTTCCTTGGTCTTGGTTCCGTGCAGTGGCGGCACCCGGCGTCGCGCCAAGGTTCCTTGTTTTTGGTTCCTTGCTGCCGTCCTCGGGTTCCTTGGTCTTCGTTTCTTGCTGCCCTCTTTGCCGAAATCATTCCTAAGCGATGCCAAGCAAGGTACAGCAATGACAAGCAATGTCCATCAATGTCAAGGCACTGCAAAGCAATGCTTAACAATACCAAGCAATGCCAGTCAGTGCCACGCAATGCCAGGCAATGCCACGCAATATCAAGCAACGCCAGGCAACGCCAAACCATGCCAAGCAAGTGCCAAGCAAGTGCCAAGCAAGGACAGGCAATATCAAGTAAGCTCAACCAAGGCCAATCAAATATTCCAATCAACGCCATTCAACGTCAAGGAGTACCAGCCAATGCAATCAATACGTTGCATTGCATTGCTCAGAACTGTGCTAAATTGTTCGGAAGCAAGAGCACCCCGAATTTGGGTCTCGCTGGGTTCACGCTGCTTTTTTCCTCTGTCGAAGGAAGGCGGACAAAAAAGGAGGAGCAGGAGGATGACGACGAGGAGGAGGAGGAGGAGGAAAACGAGGAGGAGGGAGGAGGAGGAGGAGGAGGAGGAGGAGGAGGAGGAGCAGGAGCAGGAGCAGGAGCAGGAGAAGGAGGAGCAGCAGGAGGAGGAGGAAAGGGAGGAGGAGGGAGGAGCAGGAAGGATGAGGAGTGGAGGAGTGGAGGAGGACGCGGAGAGGGAGGAGAGCAGGAGAGGAGGACAGGGATGAGGAGGAGGAGTAGCAGCAGGAGGAGAAGGATGTGGAGAAGGAAGAAGAGGAGTAGGAGGAGGTGGAGGTGGAGGACGAGAGAGGAGGAGGAAGGGAGAGGAGGGAGAACGGATACGATGATGAGAGGAGGAGGAACGGGAGGAGGAGGAGGAGGAGAAGGAGGAGAAGAAGGAGGAGGAGGAGGAGGGGGAAGAGGGACAAGAGAGGAGGAGAGGGATGGTTAAGGAGGGAGGAAGAGGAGGAGGAGGAGGAGGAGGAGGAGGAGGAGGAGGAGGAGGAGGAGGAGGAGGGAGGAGGAAGGAGGCGGAGGGAGGAGGGTGCGGGCGCTTATGTGCAGGCGGCCCCGAGACCGCGGTCCTGGGCAAACTGGGCGATGGAGGTCCAGGCCGTGTGCCGCACGCGGGGGTGGCTCGCGGCGAGCTGCATCAGTATCCCCTTATCGGGGGGCGTCAATCCTGCTCCTCCTTCTCCTCCTCCAGCTCCTTATCCTCCTCCTCCTCCTCCTCCTTGTCCTCCTCTTCTATCTGATATCCCCCTCTCTCCTCTATCCCTCGATACTCCATCCCATGCCATCCTTCCTTGCTCCCCTCCCGCAGATCTACGACGATCCGGGGCGGAGCGCTGGCCCCAGGGGAGGGCCGGGACCCCTGGGATCGTTCATTGAAGACATCACATGGCCAGACGTGTGGGGGGATACAGTCAACCCGTGCAGTAAGGATTCGCGGTAAGGATGCAAGGGCCTTGGACGCCCATGCAGGGGTTCTTCGAGCGGGGCTGGCCTTCGAAAGTGGTGGGGGATTGGCCGAAGATGACCGAAGAGGCAAGGATGCAAGGGTACCTTTGGGAAGTCGCTCATTCTTACTGTGCGGGTTGACTGTAGGGTGGGGCTGGCTCAAGGGGGCGAACACAGCCCGGCGGCGAGGCCGGCGGTCCTGCACCCACTCAACACACGCACACCAGAGGCGCTGACCTCCAGGACGTAGACCGGCGCAAGTGCCAGCGGTCCTGCTGGCATTCCACGCGCGAATCCAGAGGTATTTACCTCCAGGACACAGCCCGGCGGCAATGCCGGCGGTCCTGCTTTCACCCCAAATCGCACAGACCTCCAGGACACAGCCCGGCGGCAATGAGGGCAGTCCTTCCTGCACTCCACCTTTGTACACCATAGAGGTATCGTCCTCCAGGACACAGCCCGGCGATTAGGCCGGCGGTCCTGCTTCCATTCAACGTTCACACGCCAGAGGCACTGACCTCGAGGACATAGCCCGGCGCATTGCCGGCGGTCTTGCCTTCATTCCACGCTCGCACACCAGAGGTATCGACCTCTTGGACAGCCCGGCGGCAATGCCGGCGGTCCTGCTTCCACTCCACGCTCGCACAACAGAGGTATAGACGCCCAGCGGAAATGATGGCGGTCCCGCCTTTCCATTACCCCTCGAATGCGGCGCGTTTCTACCTGCGCTGGGCTCAAGTTGCCTCAGGCCTGGGCGCTGCATTGTATAACGAGGATTGCCCCAAGGACCCCCCAAAACAGAGTTCAACACCACGTGCGCTGTAGCCTGCGCAGGCGCCCCCGTTGGCTGCGGGTTACGCCATCAAGGCTCCGCGCACCACCAGGGGCGCTTTGTCTCCTGACGGCCCCGCCGTTGGATGCTTAAGAGCGTCGTCAAGGAACCGCCAGTCAGGTGGTTTGTTCGGGCGATTTCCTTGGCCCGAAGAACCCCCCCCCGCGCCAGAGCTCCCACCGCGAGCAATCATTTTCTGTTCTGGGTGCACCAAGAAGGCGCCACAAACCAGGGGGGATGTTCGGGCTGTTCCTCTGGCCCGAAAGACCCCTCCCCCAAACGGTGGACATTATTGTGCACGCTGTAGCCCACGTGGGCGCCCTTGTCGGTTGTCGGTTGCCTGCGTCCTCGAGGCGCCACGCACCGCCATGGCAACCTCAGGGTAGCGATCGATTCGTCTTCTGCTCTTCGTTTTCTTCGCTGGTCTCTGTCAGGCACTCCGCATCGTTGGCTTACCTTTCAAGGGGTCGGGTCCTTACCTTTCGGCTTTCGGAGGCCTCTGGAGGAGGTGGCGGGCCAAAAGGAAGGGTCGCCGCGCCCTGCCCCTCCAGGGGTCCACGGGCGGGCACGCGCGGCCGGCCCATGAGAGCCGAGCCCGAATTCCCGCTGCGCCACCAGCGCCGCCGCCCTTATCCTCTCTCTTTTTTTTGTTGTCTCTCTCTCTCTCTCTCTCTCTCCCTGAAGGGGATGAGAGGAAGTGGATGGAGGGGGCTTTGGACACTGCACTCACAAGTACATTTGAGGAACGCGTGCGGGCACGTAATTGTCCAGGGGACAATTCGGCGTGCTGGCCACACCAGAGGGCCCATCAATCAGACCGTGGAGCACGCACGTTCCGCATTGTGAGGGGCGCGTTCGTATACGACCCCGGCCTTTTCCCATGCGAGTACCTATCGCACCACACAAACTCAGGACTTTCAGGATGAGACGTCCAAGCGGTCGTGGATTACCGAACTCTGAGGGTCGCCTCATCCTTAAGGATGGGCTTAGGCGCCCTGAAGCCTATAGCGTACTGAAGAATCCTCCTCCTCCTCCTCCTCCTCCTTCCCCTTCTCCTCCTCCTCCTCCTCCTCCTCCTCCTCCTCCTCCTCCTCCTCCTCCTCCCCCTCGACGTCGGAGCTCTGGGGACAGCGCCCCCAATGGCAGCGGTATCGGAACCGCTTCGTCTTTTGAGATGGCGCCAGCAAACCCTTGAGGGGGCAGCAACCGCACGCCTCATCTGTCAGGGCATGGGTTCATAAAGTTTCAACTGAGCGTGTTGGCGTTCTTTTAAGTAACATCGGGCGGTCTCTTGATTGTTGATGTCTCTCTTCATCCTCTTCCTCCTCGTCGTCCCCCTCCTCCTCCTCCTCTTCCTCCTCCTCCTCCACTTCCTCCTCCTCCTCTCCCGCCTCCTCCTCCTCCTCCTTCACCTCCTCCTCCTCCTCCTCCACCTCCTCCTCCTCCTCGCCCGCCTCCTCCTCCGCCTCCTCCACCTCCTCCTCCTTCCCCTCCACGTCGGAATTCTTGGGACAACGCCCCCCGTGGCAGCGGTATCGGTGCCGTTTCCTCTTCTGAGGCGGCGCCTGGAAGGCCGGGGGGGGGGGGGGCAGCAGCCGCTCGCCTCCTCTGTCTGAGCGTGTTGGCGTTCTTTTGAACATCGGGCGGTCTCTGGACTGTTGACGGCGTCGGGTGCTGCTGGTCTGTGGAGTGAAGTGGTCTCTTTGAGGGGAACCGCGACCCAATGGGGCCATCGTCCTCCAGAGGGTTCCTCCGCAAAAAGGGGGCAAGACACCAGGCGGTCTCCGGGGGCCTCTGGACAGGGCCCCAGGGAGGGCCACAGCGCGGGCGGGCCCTGGCCACGGCCGCCAGGGGGCCCAGCCTCGGTGCAGAGCGCACTCGTGGCCCAGCCGGGAGTCGGTTGCGCCTGAGGGGGGGCTGCAGTTGGCACAGCAACTGACAGGTCTGCCTGACAGCATGCGCCCTAGAGACATTCTTATCCCATGGGCCTGGATAATGTGGGATGACGATTCAGAAAAAAAGGAGGGGGGAACGATAAAGAATAGTTTCCCACATCGGGGGGGAACGCTCAGAAGCAGGGCTCGCCTGTGCGGTGTTTCGTCACCGGGGGGGACGCGCGCCCAAGGACGGCGAGGGGGGAGACGATTAACAAATAGTTTCCCAGCCCGGGGCCGGTTTTTCTAATCATCATCCCGGGCGCCGCCGCGTGAACACGACCCCCAGTCGTTTTTTCAATCATCATCCTCCATGACGAAAGACGTGCCCCTAGACGAAGCTCAGTCTGCGAAGGATGTGCCCCCAGACCTCCCGCGAGAACGCTTCTGATCGATGTACCAACGGAAGCGCGGCATGGCCCGAGGCATGGGCGCGAAAGAGGGGGTGCCAGGGGGCACGCGGAAGTAAGAATAACAATGATAATGCGATCATCAATGACACTAATGGAACAAAATCAATAACAGTAATGCCAATAACAACAAATAATTACAATAGACTCATACTAATACGCATACGACGAAACATGATAGATTTACGAATCAGAGTGAAGGGGGCCGAACGGTTGTTCATTGCCACTGGGTCCGTGGCTGAAGTGAGAGTCCGTGGTGAGGATTCTGCTTGTTGCATTGTTGTTGCTGCTGTGGTTGTTGTTGCTTTTGTTCTTGTTGTCGTTGGTCTTGTTGTTATTTGTTGTTGTCGACCCCCTTGCGACCCACCCCGCGACCCACCCCGCGACCCACCCGCGACCCACCCCGCGACCCAACCCGCGACCCACCCGCGACCCACCCGCGACCCACCCCGCGACCCAGCCGCGACCCACTTGCGACCCACCCGCGACCCACCCCGCGACCACCCAGCGACTCACCCGCGACCGATCCACATTGGTTTGAAGAAAAAATATGCGCCTGCGGCAGGCTCTTTGCATAATGTGTGAAACTTTTGCGCCTGAGGCGGGCTTCTCGAAGGAGTCTCGCAGACTGCCGACGTCCCCACCGCCCCCTCACTCTTATCCGCATCTGCGGGGTGCTACGATATACAATCGACATCAAGAATTAAAAGTAGGCGGGGTTGTGAATGGGTTAATGATGATCACAGGCTGAAGCAGAGAACTGATAATACGAGTAGTAACACCTAATTGTGAAAATGAAGAGGAGACGAACCATCATATTAGTAGCATCAAGAAGACGAGTACTAATAGTAATAATAATAACACGAATAAGAACAACAATAATGCTGAACATACTACGAATAACAATAAAAAATAATAAGAAACATAATGAGCCGAATAATAATCATGCGCAGAAGAAGAGGGGGTCATGAAGCATGACGGATCTGATGGCCCCAGCACTGAGATCTACACGCACGCAGACCTCACCCGCCCCGCCGCTCCTGGTAGCTTCCGGGCCACAGCCCGGGCCTCCGGCGGCGGTGCGGGGACGACCCGGGCACGGCGGGACCGCTCGCGGCAAGGCGCAGCGGCTGACGAGCACCCCGAGGCCGTAGCATCGCCGAGGACCGACGCAGACGTCCGAAAAGCTCTAACCCTCGAGCCCCGGTTTGTCGACGCCTAAAACAGGGCTAGGATCGGGATAAATCGCTCCAGAGCGTTCCGGAGCGCTCTCAGAGCGTTCCAGAACGCTCTGGAGCGGCCGCGGCGCCCAATACATCCTCCAAACCCGCCGATTCTCAGAGATTTCGAGTTATCCCGGTCCGATTTTGTCCCGATCTTCGCGTCGTTTTACTAACCCTCGAGCCCCAGTTTGTCGACGCCCCAGGAGGCCCCCGGTGGGCCTGGGCTCGGGACGGGCCTGCCTACGACCGGCGTCGGTGTGAGCTTTCGGCGCAGCCCATCCTGGACCATCTGGGCCACGGCGGCCTCGTCGTCAACGTACTCGGCGATCTGCGACAGAGCAGTGATCGCGGCAACGACCGGCTTCCACTCGCCAGTCTGGAACAGTTTAGTGACAGCTCGGGGGGGGGCACGCGCGACCCCAGAGCGAGGAGGGAGGAAAAAGGGGGGAGACGCGGTTCCGTAGTTTGGATTGAAGGTGACAAGAAGGAGGGAGGAGACAGGGTACGAAACGTAAAAAGAGGGCAGAAGCAGAGAGAGAGAGAGAGAGAGAGGGCGTAGGATGAGAAAAAAAGCAAGTGGAGGGGAAGGGGGTCCATGGGGATGGTGGGAGCACCGAACACCTCCTCCTCCTCCTCCTCCTCCTCCTCCTCCTCCTCCTCCTCCTCCTTTCCCCCCTTATATTTCACCTCTTGCCGTCTCCTCCTCCTCCTCCTCCTCCTCCTCCTCCTCCTTTTCATCCTTCTCTTCCTCATCCTCCTCTTCCTCCTTCCCTCTCCTCCTTCCCCCTCCTTTTCCTTCTGCCTCCCCCTTCTCCTCGCTCATGCCGTGGTCGAGCACAGCAGCAAGAACCCTGCAATCAAGACTTTCTCGCCCTCATACCTCTTCTGCCTCCAAAAGGATTACACATCAGGGCTACGATCCTGCTCTATTATCGTGGGCCTCATTTTTGGGATCGGCGCGTTGGTTCCGTCGTTCAGACATCGCGCTCTCGCCCCAGTGCGGGCTACGCTTTTGCCGAGTACTTCGTCATCGTTGTCGCCCCTCTTTTTTGGCCTCCGCCGTTTTCTCCTGTACCTCCTGCTCCTCCCGCTCCACCAGTCCGGTGCCCGGTGCTGCTGTTCGTCCGCGTCCCAGTCCTCCTCGGACAGCCCTTCTTCTCCCCTGGTCAGCCCACCCACTCCAATTGCGCATAGCGCAGGTCTGCTATGACACGCGACCGCAAGTGGAGAAAACAACTGTGCAATGAGAGGGGATGGGTGGGAGGGATGGGATGTCAGATCTGTCGCGCGACCACATAGGTTGCCTCCGTCCCCCTCTCCCCTCCCCCTCCCTTCTTCCTTCCTCCTCGCTTTGATTGGCGGCGAATTGCGCAGCACCCTCGCGGCCAAAGCGAGCGGAAACCGAAGGGCAACACGTCACCTTTTCGAGTTCCTGCTGCACCGCCCCCCTCTTCCACCCCCCACCACCCATGCCCCTCCCCGTTCCCCCCGCATTCCCTTTTTGCCCCTCTTCCCCCCTGCCTCTTTCCCCCGTTTCCACTCCTCGTCGCGCGCTCGCCCCCCCTCCCCCTCCTCCTCCCTCCCGCCGTCCGTCCTCTGCTGTCGCAGCGCCATCGGGCGCCCCTTGCGCCTCTGCCCGCGCATGCCCGCGCCGCGGGCGGTCGGGGCCGAACCACGCCGGTTCCGATGGGAGGGGAGGAGGAGAGGCCACCGACCTCCTGCTATACCATCTGGGGCTACCTGGAAGAAGGGGAAAACGGAAGTAGGAGCGGCCTTGCCGCCGAAAGTACCGAATCGATCGGGCCCGACATCATATCATCGACCGACGGAAACGGAACAGAAAGCGCAAGCAAAGAGGGCATCAGCAACTCATGGCGCGTGGCAAATGCCCGCGTGGTACCGAAGCGCGAGGCGGGGGGAGAGGTCGAAATCCTCGGGGGAGCAGAAAGAACCTCGGGCCAGCTGACAAGGACAACTCGGAATCTTCCCCAGCCTCAAGCAGGCCAGCCTCGCTGCTGTAGTTCCTCTGTTGGCTATGGCATCTCAGCTTGTGGTTGTCTTCACATGAAGTGGCTGGAAACATCATTCGTGGAACCCTCTGTCCAGAGTGCTTTACAAGTCTGCTCGTTCAGATCCAGCACGACGCAGTCGAAATGTTCCTTGCCGCACTTGCCCTCCACAGTGCCACCGATGGCGATGCGTCTCTGGGTGTGCGGATCTTTCGGGTGGCACAGCTCCACCTGCTTTCTGCTCCGGCCTCGATCTCTATCGCGCCGCCCAAGTGCCCGCGAAGAACATCTCGGACCCAGGCGGACGTTGCGCCATGCGCGGTGTTCAATTTCAGCTGCTGCTGCTGCCGAGCGCCTAGTGATTTCGGCTGCAGGTCGGGGCGTTGTTTGCCGATCCAAATGCGGGCTGCCCGCTCCAGGTCCACCCCGCGGCTGGATCCGTCGAATCAGGCCCAGCGTGTCCAAGTGGCGCAGCGTTTTCTGGTAGCTCAGCGCCTCCTCGCGGCCCAGCGCGCTGCGGTGGCCCAGCGCGCCCTCGGAGCCCAGGGCGCTATCGTTGCCCGGCGTGTCCTGGTAGTTTAGCGCCCTCTGGTCTTAGTCCGGCGCGTGCTGTTAGCCCAGCGCGCGCCCTTCCCAACCACTTCTCAAACGCTAACTTGCCCCTCTCCCCCTCGTCCTGTCAAGCATCTCGGTCCCCCAAAAATTCCCCCGCATGTCCTCGACTGCCTTGGCGCCTGCAGTAGGGGGAGATGCTGGCGTGCGGCGTGGCGTTCGCTTCTTCCAAGTATCTTTCGCATTGCACGCTGGCGATATCCCCCTGCTCTCTTCCCCTGGCATGCGCCGCCTCGATTGCGGCCCCTTCTCTGGCTCGGGCACTTCCGACAAGCGTCGATTACGCGCCTCGCGAGTGCGTGGGTCCACCGATGCTGGCGGGCGCCGCCGGGGCTAGGGGGCGAATGCTGACGGCTGCTGGGCCATGCCCTCTTTGAGACGGGCAATCGCCTCGACGAACGTGCGATTGCGGGCTTCTGCCAAGCATGTTTCATCAACCGCTCTCTCACGCGCCCCCCCCCCCCCCCCCACCCACCCCTGCGCGCTGCTTTGCAAGCTCGATCCACTTGCGCCGAGAATCCTGATCGCGCAATTGCTTCTGGCATTCGAAATACTGCAGCGTATCCACGCAAACCTTCTCAACCTGCGCCAACTCATCCTTCTGGTGCTTGGCCGCGTTGTCCGCGATGTGGGCATGTCTTTTCTTTTTTTGTGCCGCCGCTTCCTCCTGCTTCTCCTCGTCCTGATGCTCTTCAGGATCTGCCCGTGCTCGCATGACCTCCTCGCGCTGCGTGCTAACCTCCAGGACCTCAGGCCGAGCTGGGGCCGAAGGATCCTCCGCGTGCGTCTCTGCAGTCTGCCCAACTATGCTCATATGCTGCGCTGCCATGCCCTTCCAGTGCGCAACCTGAGTTCCCATCATGTGCCGCTGCTGCTGGATCGCCGGGTTGAAATGATGCGTCACCGCTGCAGCTTTCAGCGACTGAATGCACTGCTCTTGCTTTAAAAACTTTCTCGCCGCTGGCACCGCCCTTTCTGCGCGGACTGAAGCTTGGCTGATCTGGATCGACACTGCCGAAGTAGGAGTAGGAGCCCCCCGCCGTGGAATACCTGCGATGGAGCTCGCCATCGAACTCGGGATCGCAAGCGCTGGTGAGGCCGTGTAAGGGGGCAATCTTAACCCGCGAGCTGCCAATGTACGACGTATCTCTGCCTCGGGCGCCTGCGCCCCGTAGTCGTCGCTCATCTGCATCTTGGCATGGGTCGGAGGACTGCTCGCAGGTGGTGTCGGGGAAACTGAAGTCTTAGCGGGTGGTACTCGATCTGGCCTCCTGGCACCATCATGTTTTTTCTTCTGCCTGCCCAACTGGCGGACCCCGCCCCTTGCGCTCGTCATTTCCGTCAAAGATGCAGATGGTTGTTCTCGAATCTATTTCCCATCCACTATCGGTGTGAAGTCATTGCTGTCTACTGCCTCTGTTGACCTGGGCGATCCTGCTCCCCTCGTGCTCCCCGTGCTCGCATTCATCGGCTGTGCTGGGGGAGGTGGCGGTGGCGGTGGCGATTGTGGAGGCGGTGGGTCATCTTCTGGGTCAACTTTTGCAGCTGGCGCTGGGGGTGCCAACGCGTCCTCGTTGCTTGGGAGCGGTCCGTCGTCTCCCTCCCTCCCTCGCTTCTCTCAACCAGTCCCTCCAATAATTGTTCGTCTGGCTCTCCAACAACATATCAGTTCCAATAGCTCCCACTTGCTTCTTCAGCGACTCCACCTGGGTAGTTGCCCTACGCAACCCATCGCCAACCTCCTTTTCCCTAGCAGAAAGACTGTTCAGCTGCCACAGCATGAACTTGATATTCGCCACGCCCCTTCTGATGCACAACCGTACTCGGTATGTCCTCCCTTCCTTTCACCTCAATGTCCGCAAACGTATCCAGCCTGGACTGGAGTTTACCTCTTTGAAGTGCGACCGTTCATGCTCCCTCTGGTGGGGCAAGTAGGTGTTGCTCTCGATGACATAATCGGTCGTGCACTTCGTATGGTCGTGGATGCACGCCATCATTTCCTCCTTCATGTTGGTCTTCTCCTTCGATTTGCGATTTTCATCGTGGTCCTTTGGCTATGCTGCCGGTACTCTACACATCATTGCTTATCGCGACAAATCGTGCCATCATTATTTATGTATGTGCCGCGCGCGATACACATCCATTCAGATTGTGAACCAGAACCCCTCCATGGAAATTGCTGAGCCTGGTAAGACGACTGCTGATTATGATACCTGCGCGCCATCTATCCAAAAGGAAAATGAAGTAACACGACACCAACTGCCCAATGCAATATCAGAAGAACACGAGCTTCCGTCCTCTGACGGCGAGCGCGGCGGTGCCACGCGGGTGACCTCCTGCGCTTGCCAGGTCCCCTCCGCGGCAGCGGCGTCGCCGCCCGCCTGCTGGCGCTCTGATGCGCCCGCGGGCCTCTGGGCTGCGCTGGACCCCGACCTCATGCGGGGCAGCCCGATGGCGCGGCGCTGCGGCGGCGCGCGCCGCTGACGGGCCCCCCCCGTAAAGCAGGTCGTGGCTTCGTCGTCGTCCTCCTCCTCCTCCTCCTCCTCCTCCTCCTCCTCCTCCTCCTCCTCCTCCTCCTCCCCCTCCTCCTGACACGGTCTTCACTCCTCACACGGTCTTCCCCCTCCTCCTCCTCCTCCTCCTCCTCTTACAATGCTCCTCATGCTCCTCCTTCTTCTCCTCCTCCTCCTCTTGCTCCTCCTCGTCCTTGTCCTCCTCTTCTTCCTTTTCCTCCTCCCCCTCCTCCTCCTCACATTAGTCCTCCTCCTCCCTCCCTCCCTCCCTGCCTGCCTCCCTCCCCCCGCTTCGCGCACAAGGGGGCGTGGGAAGGCAGGACAGGGGCCGCGCCCGCACCAACCCCCTGAGAATGGCCGGCTTGAGCACCTCCAGGACCGCGGGGAAGCAGTCGACCCTGTGGGCACACCGGCAGACGCGGTCGATCGCCTCAGCGACGACGACGAAGACGACCACTACGACGACCGCGACGACGACAAAGACGAAGACGACCACCACGACGACGGCAACGACAAGGACGACGACCACCACGACGACGACGGCGATGACCGCGAGCGAGCACCTCCTTCCCGAAGACGTAGTGCTCCTCGTCCTCTTCGCCCTCGTCCTGGAGGCAGGCGGCTGGGTCGTGCCGAGCGCGCCTGTACAATCGCCGTGCCGCCATGAGGAACGCCGAGCAGGAAACGAAAGGGCGAACCTGGCCACGGCGAGCCTCGGACACGATCAGGTTCCCCGACCAAGATCTGAGGAGCGGCGGGGAAACCAGAGCCCGTCATGAGCCCGTATTCGGTGTATCTCGCGGCAGGCGCGGCAGCTGGAGAGCGAAGGCAGGAGGAAGGGATGCGGGAAGAAAAGAAGTGAGCATGGGGGCAGACGAGGAGGAGGGAGAGGAGAGGGATGTGGGTCACCGAACTTTGCATCCTCGCGCCCTCTCGTCGCCCCCCCTGGAGAAGGGCAGCTCTCCCGTCCAGGACACGAAGCACGAAGCGCGAAGGGCGATCATCTCCGCATACCCGCAGGTTGCCTAGAGGGTCATGTTAACTAGAACCATCGCGCGCGCACAATGTGCGCGCTGGAGCTCTATATACGGGTATACGCACGGCGACTGAGAGTTGGAGGCACGAGGAAAGAGGGGGCGGGGACGAGGGAGGAGAGATGGAAGGAAGGAAGGACGTTGGGGGAAGTGGACGGAGGAAAAATGGACGAGAAGGAGAGAGGCAGGGGAAAGGCAAGGAGGGAAGAGGAAGAAAGGGTAGGAAAGGCATCAGTCGGAAACCGAAGACAATCCAAAACAACCATAACTGCTCAGGCAAGGGGCCGGCCAGGGGCCCGAGTGGCGGCTGGGCATCCGAGGGGTCGTAGTCAAGCAAGACAAACGACGGACAACCAAACACAACCAAAAACAATCAAACTGTTCAGGAAAAAGGGCACCCAGGTGCCCGACCGGTGGGAGGCATCCGAAGGCAAGTACACAACCAAGGCAACCGACGGACAACCGAAAGCAACCAAACACATCCTGGGGTGGAGCAGCCACACCCAATACATAGTTTAGGATTACGCCCACCTCGCAATCTAAAAGTCAGCAACAATCCGCCGGCCCCCTTGTGGGGCCACCAGGCTGTAGGCGCGGGTTCGCAGTTTCCTGTGCCAGTTGTAGCTTGTAGTTTCCAGTGTTACAGTTCTGCTTCTTGCTGGTAACTGTAACTAGTTGATTGACCGCGCGAGGGGGGGGAGGCCCAAACAAGATTTTTAGCGTCTCCTGGGCGCGTTGTCTGAATTGCTGGGGGAGCTCGAAATCGACACCCCTCACGCAAATCCGCGGGGTCAGGGTCCAAAAACACATGGGATTTGCCACATTTCTGAAATTCGGTGCCAGCCCTCACGCAGATCCGCGGGGTCAGGGTCCAAAAACACAGGGGATTTGCCACATTTCTGAAATTCGGTGCCACCCCTCACGCAGATCCGCGGGGTCAGGGTCCAAAAACACATGGGATTTGCCACATTTCTGAAATTCGGTGCCACCCCTCACGCAGATCCGCGGGGTCAGGGTCCAAAAACACAGGGGATTTGCCACATTTCTGAAATTCGGTGCCACCCCTCACGCAGATCCGCGGGGTCAGGGTCCAAAAACACAGGGATTTGCCACATTTCTGAAATTCGGTGCCACCCCTCACGCAGATCCGCGGGGTCAGGGTCCAAAAACACATGGGATTTGCCACATTTCTGAAATTCGGTGCCACCCCTCACGCAGATCCGCGGGGTCAGGGTCCAAAAACACAGGGGATTTGCCACATTTCTGAAATTCGGTGCCACCCCTCACGCAGATCCGCGGGGTCAGGGTCCAAAAACACAGGGGATTTGCCACATTTCTGAAATTCGGTGCCACCCCTCACGCAGATCCGCGGGGTCAGGGTCCAAAAACACAGGGATTTGCACATTTCTGAAATTCGGTGCCACCCTTCACGCACATCCATCGCAAGGCGTGGTAACCCAAACTGCGAGAACTCCCTCGGCCCTTTAATCGCAAGGTGTGGTAACCAAGCCCGTAAACCATACACGTCTTACCAATCGCCAGGTGTGGTAACCCCTCTTGTGATCAGTTGGTTTTGCTGATTGCGAATCGGCTTCGCATGAAGTTTCGATACTGCTTCACGACAGCGCCAAGGCCTCATGACTTAGCTCTTCCATGGCCCAGTCTCCGAGAGAGGGGGCCGGCGGCAGGGGGCGAAGCCCTTACGGATAAATCAGTGAACTGGGAATGCGGATGGAATATATTGGGATCATATCCGACATGTATATGAGCAGCGAAATTGGTTACACGTTGGCGGAGACGAGTGTATGTCACAACACGTAGCCATTGAAAGGCATCTTGCAGACTCACAATAGCAGGCGTAAGCTCTCAAAAACATATCATACGAACGTGGTATACATGTGGCATACATGATAACGTGCAGGACAACAGCGCTCGAGAGACCCCCCACGCCATTACAACATTGCTCGCATCGCATCAGACAGCGGGAACGGAACAACACATCAACCGAGACTTTGTATTCACATGATGACATAAATGAGCGTCCACTGCCACCATAAATTTCGCACATGGAACTTCAATGCACAGAAGCATCGGGTAACCTACAAGCACAGACACAAGAAAGGCGCGATGAATACAAGTAAGACGCCGACACGGATCGACGACAACTAATACAGGACATACACAAATAACGATGATACCGGAGAAAAACCCAATCAGATTTGTGTTGGGGTTATGGTCTATAGGACTATAGGGCTATAGGGTTATGGGGCTATAGGGCTATATGGGCTATATGGCTATAGGCTATAGGGGTATAGTGCTATAGGGCTATTGGGCTATTGGGGCTATAGGGCTCTAGGGCTCTAGGGCTATAGGGCTATATAACTATAGGGCTATAGGGCTCTAGGGCTCTAGGGCTCCAGAGCTATAGGGCTCTAGGGCTCTAGGGCTATTGGGCTATAGGGCTATAGGGCTATAAGGCTATAGGACTATAGGGCTATTGAACTATAAGGCTATAAGGGCTATATGGGCCATTGGGCTACTGGGCTATTGGGCTATAGAGCTATAAGGCTATATGGCTATAGGGTGCCCGGGCACCCCCGGGCACCTCCGGGCACCCCGGAACACCCGGGCACCTGGGGCCCCCCGGGCACCGGGGCCCGGCCACCGAAATCGGGCACCCGGGCACCCCCGGGCACCCCCGGGCACCCGGCCGCCGGCCACCAAATCGGCGCCGCACCTCACCTAACCATATGAATCCGCTAGGACCCCTACAGGGGCAAGCTCTGACTGGGGAAATACTACACATCAGTGGGGGCCGCCAACAATAAGACGATTTGGTCAGATTGGGTTCCCTAAGCTCCTCTTCATCTTGCTCTGCCCACTCCGCGATGTCCTCGTTCAGCTCCATCATGAAGCGAATACAAACTTCGAGGGTCTGTTCGACGTATGAGGGCACCTTGACCATCGCCTTCGGCTTAGCCTCCATAAAACAAACTATCACCTCAAGCGCGTACTTCCGTGAGGCGTCGTCCTTATGTGACATGGCGACGCCATGAAGAAGGGGCATGAGGTGGCTGGCAACGTGGTTTTTAAAGAAGTCGCAAGTCTCCGTGGTCGCCTGGAGGCTCTGCAGCACCGTGTTCAGGTGCTTGGAGTCCGCCGAGCCCGCCAGCTGCGTGAGAACGGTGCAGAAGTCTGGTATGAGCGGGGCAAAGGGAACTCTTTCCTCTCGGGACGGGGGTCAGCAAAGGTCGATGATCCCCAGAACGTCTGTCACCGCCACCGAGGCCTTTCAATGCGCCGCTGGCGGCGCAAGGAGGGCCGACACGGGCTGCGTGCCACCGGTGTACGCTGGTGGATCTGAAGGGGCAACACACACACACACACACACACTGGGCTACCACACGTCCTGCTGGCCATCGCTCGGACGTCCATTCCCTGTGTTTTTTTCGGTTTCGTGCGTGGCTTTTTCGCCAAATGATCCAGGATGCTCCTCGATGGTCCTCGCCGAGGAAGAAACGCACACGTCCGAGCGATGCCAAGCCTGGGTATCGTGGAAGAGGGGGGTTCAGCGAATCAGCTCACGCAGCGCTGGTTCCTCCAGCGCCAGGTGCGCCCGTGCATCGTGGAGTGCGCCAGGCAGCGGGGCCGAAGCCAGCCTCAAGCCGCAGATTTCGTGCCCCGCCCTGTCCCAATCCCCCCCTCCCCGACACATCCGACAAGGCAACATGTTTTCAACACGCAGCCCCAAAGAGGTCCAGACAGATCGGTCTGCGGTGGCCCGCTGCGTCCCCTAAAAGGCCCCAGAGGCCGAAATCGAGGAAACACTGCAGGATTGCAAAATATCGGCGGTGGACAAACCTCCCTGTAGTAAACCACCCTTTTCATGAAAACGGCCCCAAGACCGAAACCGACGGACCTGGACCCGCAAGAATGACGGCCGCGATGCCCTCTCGCGAACCGAGAACGGGCAATTCACTAATCGACGTGGCAGGGTGGGGGTTCTGTCCCCAGACATGCGACGTCCTGATTTTTTCAGGACGGCGTCCCCAGAAGTCCCGACCCGTTCCCCGGGGCCGGGTTTTCCATCCTGAGTCGTTCTTGTTATGGTCCCGAGGCCCGGCGAGGGCCCCCCGAGGCCGAAATTGGCAAGAAACCTCCCGTCCTGAGTTTTTTACGACGCGATCATGTCTGGGCCCACCCCCGAAATACACATCGTCGGAGATCTGGGAATCCACCTCTTCCCGTCCGGCCCGGTCCTCCCTGCTCTCGATGTTGTCGACGAGGCTGCAGAGCAGCGACGCCGCCTCGCCGCGGACGCCCTCGGCCGGGTCCGCCAGGCAGCCGCGCAGGAGCTGCTGGGACTGGCCGGCGCTGGCCACCAGGACCTGCCAGATGGAGACGGTCATCTCCTTCACCTGCAGGGGGAACGACAGCTTGGACGCCCGAAATTTGAGCAGGGACTGACCGTCCCGGCATTCCTATAGTCATACCACGAAATGCTCTTGGAACCCAAACATGTTCTAAGAACAAGAACACTGTTCTTAGAACATAAACCCGATGTGATAAAACAGCGCAGTCTCAGCCAGAAATGTTCTAAGCACATTTCGTGGGAACGTCACAAGGTTCTTAGAACATTGTTTGGTAGGGCTACAGGCGAGCGAGGACGCTTCGCCACTGCTTGAGAAATGGGTGCGGAAAACATTGGTACAGTATGCCCAACAACAAATGTTGTCCCAAACCAACAGCGGCCGCTGTTGGGCAGACGGCCTTCTGTCGCAAATGGACACAGGCCGCGGCGGCGCGGACAGCGAGTTCGGTTCAAAATGAGCAGGAACTGCTGTTGGGCATCGTACCCGTTCTTTCCGTACCCATTTCGTTCGTGTCGAGGTAGGGGCCATGGGCAGGGACCGACCGTCCCGTCATTCCTATAGGCCTACCACGACATGTTCCTAGAACCGGAGAACATGACCTAAGAACAGAAACAAGGTTCTTAGAACATGAGCCCGATGTGTCAACACAAGACAGACTCCGCCAGAAATGCTCTCAGAACATGTCGTGGAAACCACACAAGGTTCTTAGAACATTCTTTGGAAGGCCTATAGGCGAGCTAGGACGCTTCGCCACTGCTTGAGATAGGGGTCATGGAGGGAGCCGAAGTTCCCAGAATCGAGGTTTCAAGCTTTCGGACGTTGTCGTCCGTCCTCGGTGGCTTTCCACCCTCGGGGTCCCTCTCGTCGGCTGCGATCCGCGGAGAGCGCTCTGGAGGTGGCCGGATCGTCCCGAACGGTCGCCAGAGGCCTGAAGCATCACCCGAAAACCACCTGGGGACCGGCCCATGGGGGGGAAACAGCGAGCTGGAACCAGCGATACATCGCGAATAGATCGGCCACAGGCCGCCGATAGCGGATCCGCACGCTCCTGGGCGGGGTGGGCCATCGGGCGCCTATCGGCGATGTATGGGGCGAGTGGGGGTCGATGGATTCATTCTGGGGGTCGATGTGCATCCCCTCCTCCTGTTGCCCCTGATCACCGCCCAGAGGCAGTCAGAGCGGACGCCGCTGTCCTCTTGGCGACGCGCACAAGGGGCTGGCGAGAGAGAGAGGTCGGTATTCTGAGAAGCCTGGTGGGCTTCTCGCAAAGGCAGGGGGGGGCGGGGGGTTCTTGGAAGCCCTCCTGGCTGCCGCCTGCGAGGTCTCCTTAGAAGCCCCTGGGCCCTTCTGAGAAGGCCCCTGGCTTCTGAGAAGCCTTCTCGGGCTTCTTCGAATGAAGGGGCCCTGGGACACGCAAGTAAATGAACACAAATAGCAGGATTCCCTATATTTTCCCATATGCTCTGGGTTTCTGTCTTCCCCCCAACTTCCCACATTTTCCCATGTTTTCCTGGGAGTCGACGGTCCATTGTGTCTGTGTGTTTCTTCCCCTCCCGATCGAAGGCCGCCCCCCCCCTCGCGCCCCCCCCCCCCGTGCGCGCCGCGCGGGTCCTTGCTGGCGTCGGCGACCGTCCGCATCAGCATGGGCATGAGCTCGGGCCACTCTGGCGCGTTGGCGGGCCGCTGGTCGTCCACGACGTTCAGAGGCGACGATGGGGGCAAATTGCCGAGGGGAGCGCAATACATGCATCCAGGTGCGCCGATGATCTATGTCTTCGAGAAGGCTCCCGGGCGAAGGCGTGTGATGCCCGCCCCTGGGCTATTCGCCCCGATCGTCGCCTCCGAGATGTCGATGATCTGGTTGCCCAGGCTCTGCACGCAGTCGGCCACCTTCCGGCGGACCTGCGGCTGCGGCTCTGCCTCCAGCACCCGCAGCAGGCCGGCTCGCACGTCCGCCTGGCCGGCCGCGCCGAGCCCGGCCCACACGGAGCCGTCCTCCCGCGCCTTGCTCAGGCACTGCCGCAGGAGCACGGCGCCCTGCTCGCGCGCCGGCTGCCACACTTCCGCCGCCTGCAGCACCTGGAAGAGGCCAGCGACGGTGGCGGCGGGCTGCTGCGCCCTGGCCTCGCCGTAGCGCTTCTCTGCCGCGTTCCTGAGAGCGTTGTCGCTGCTGAGCGTGTCGGTCACCGTCTGTAAGAACGCCGCCTGTTCCCCGCTCATGGCTGCGCCAGGCGGCTGGTCGAACAGCCGAACCCGTACCTGCAACCACAGATGCAGGGCACCACGACGCCTCAAAAAGTTTTGAAAACTTTGAGCACCAATGCGCGCGGATTGAAGAAGACGGCGTCCAGAGTCTCTGGATTCATAAACTCCACTCGCCTATTTGGCCACTCCCGCTTTGACTTCCTCATGCTGCAATGTTCCTGTATTTCTGTAGTTTCTGATGCTGTTATGCTCGTCACAAGCATCGCCCCTACCATCAGCACCATAGACATTACAGCGCGCCGCTGTTGGAGGACCCGAGAAAGTTGGAGGGTTAGAAATGAACGCTGCAAGTCCCCAGTCCAGCACACGCTAACACAAACTGCATACATGCAGATGGTCTAGCACGTGGGTGCGGGGAATCATAATCACCCAGAACAGTGAAAACAGTGCAGCCCAACTTGAAGACGGTGCGCGTCGATGTTTGCGCGGATGGGAACTGGACCCGTCGCTAATCCACGCGCTCGTTGTGAGGAGAGAGGAGGAGGACGAGGAAGAGGAGGAGGAGGAGGAGGAAGAAGAAAAGGATAATCGCACTGGCCTGGGTCGAGCGGAGTCGGCCCCCCGGGCGGCGAGGTCGAAGACCTCTTCCACAGCGCAACGTTCAGTGCTGAGGGCCTTCCCTGCTCCTTCTGGAATGGGGGGGGGCGGGGCAAGCTCGCAGGGCAGGCTGCAGAAGGCGCGCGCTCCGCTGGCCCCTCTCCGCGAGGGGGCGGGCGCGGCGCGGGCGCAGAGGCCGTCCTCCGTGGCCAGCGACGGCGGCGTCTGCATCGAAGACTTTGCCGTGGACGAAGTCTTCGACCTCGCCACCCGGGGGGCCGACTCCGGTCGACTCGGGCCGGCGCGACTCAGCTCATCGCCCTCCTCCTCCTCTTCCTCCTCCTCCTCCTCCTCCTTCCCTTCTTTGGCCACGCACCTAAAGTTGGCGCGGGGGGGGTCAGGGGCTCTTTGGGGGAAGAAGGAAGCTCGATGCGGACGAGCAGCGCAGGAGGGAGCAGATCGAGCCCAAGCCCAGAGAAGAAGATCAAGCGGCCAAGGGCGAGAAGGGAGGAGCGACCCCCCTCCCCCTGGTCGCAATCCTGGCTGGCCGGCTGCGGGCTATACTGGTGAGGAGACGGCGAGGGTGCCAGGGCCGGCCCCTGCCCCAACACGCGTCGGCGGCCCAGTCAGTGACCGACCCAACTGGCGGCGAGGGGTGGGTGTTCGACTCGGCCCTCCCGCCCGTCCCACGGCCGCCCCGGCCACTTGTCTGCAGTCGGGCCGCTGAAAGAAGGAACGCTACATAAGGAACGAGGCCCCTTCTTGGCCCCGTAAGCGCCTCCGCGCCCCAGGAGGGCAAGAGGAACCGCACTGGAGGAACCTAAGGGAACATCCAGCCCCTTCCGAACCCAAACAGTTCCTTAGTTCAGCGTCTCGACTGTGTGGGAGTGGCTCAGAGAGCGTGGCTCCCCAGAGCGGTCTGGTGCTGGCCGCGGCGCCCCGCCGTGGCAGTCGGGCCCCCAGAGGGAGGCTGGGCCGCGCCTCCCTGCGCCCCCACTTTCCCCGCGAGCCTCCTGCCAGCTCCCTGCGAGCCTCCTCCTCCTCCTCCTCCTCCTCCTCCTCCTCCTCCTCTTCCTTGTCCTCCTCCTCCTCCTCCTCCTCCTCGCTCCTGGCTCCTCCTCCTTCTCCTCCTGCTTCCCCTCCATATAAGGTGCCCTGCGCGGCGGCGCGCGGCTCGCAGCACCTATGCCTGCTCCTCTTAGATGTGTTGTTCATTCTGCCACGTCGCTTGTGCAGGGTGGCCGGGCGGTGGGGATCAGTGAGGCAGACAAGCATAAGGATGCAATTCTGCTGACTGGCACGCGCCTTCGCCGCGGGCCGCCCGACATCGCCTGCACTACGATTTCGGAGACGCACGCCCATATCTTGAATTGGGGATGCGGCAGGGGCAGATGACTTCAGGTTATACTGGTGGACAAACTCGTCATCGTAAGCGTTTGTTCGGCTCCGACACATAGGTCAGTTTCGCTCACCACCTGAGGGGCTCAAAAGGGCGATTGGGGGCAATGGAGCTTGGGTCTGGACGATTTCATTTGCAGATGCTGGTGGCAAATTTTCCAGTTCGCCCGCATGTTGCTTGAGAGATGGCCACGTAGCAACGCACTGTGAACCGGAGGATTCGCTGGATGGATCAGGTCTGTCGGGCCCAACCGAATAGATACTTCTGGTAGCGACTTCAACGACTATGCTGGCATTCGTGCTCCGACGGTTTACCCCAACATGCACATCCCAGTGGGACCGCTGCGGCCGCAGCACGAGCACATGTGCATGACGCAGCTTCGGGATTGCATGGAAAACATAACTTGCGCCTGGCTGCCATGTACATCGGAGGAATGGGCGCGTATGATGGACGCACGTCGAGCTCTCGTACGGACCACCTGAGAGTGTCTCAGGCGCGGCTTTCGATTCTTGTGGACTCACATGTTCTGGAACAAGAGGGTCGCAGATTAAGATGGCTCCTATGCAACGCAGACGGGATCACGATCCACTTCATGTGCAAGCACGGGATTTACTGGTTGTTTGTCTCCTGTGAGCCGCGCACACACAGCGTTCACTGGAATTTAGATGACTTGGCTCGTGGAGCTCGTGTTGGGTGATTGAGAGATCAATCCTTGCAGGCGGTGGAGGACCATTGCTCTAGCACATGCCCGCGGCTGAAGCAGTGCGAATTATTAGCTACGTCTGATGAACCGTTGCATAAATTGATTGATGAAGTGAAGACTACCGCCTTGGATTTGTTCTCAAACGTATTCTGGAGCAGATGAACGATAACAAGCGGGGCCGACAGACCATGCTCTAGCACGAGGGACGAGCAATTCTACGACAGCAGCTCGGTGCATGACCACATGATGAAATTGAGAAGCAACAAGCAGAGCTACGTCGACTGCAACAACGTATATGGCGGCTCACGAAGGACCTTCGTGAGCATAAAGAACAATACCAGGCCGCACATATTGACAGCCTAGGTGGTCAGACCAAAGCAGCTTGGGAGGACAATGGTCACAGCCTGGTACAATGATTGGCTCGTAGGCTGGCTACCACCTCAGTTCGCCCAGGGCGAAGATTCTACAACACACCAGCTACTTCCAACCCTACGGTGGGGATGTGGACGCAACATCTGGCTCAATCTGGTTGGCAAGGTGGACCGTCAACTCAGCGCGTTGGGGTGCATCGAGGAGCTTCCTGAGCACCGCACAGCGTACCATGATGGCTAGTACCTCTGGAGCCCAGATTTCAAGGATGAAGTTGAGAAGGGTCTTCGAGAAATGCAAGCTGTATTAAGACGGCAAGGGTACAGCAAAAACGTGTCACCGTGGTCTCTGCCAGCTGGAATTTCGCGCATGTTACTGAGCCGGGCGGAGAGGGACCCGAAGCAAAACGAGCAGCAGCGAGAGCTCGAACGCACGATGCCCGATCTCAGCTGAATTTCTGGAAGACTCCGTGGAGTTCTCTGGAGCACCACAGATATGGCGAAGGCACGGCTGTCTTGGCATCGGTCGTGGGGGTCACGTGTACCGAAGCCAAGCTCGCAGACGGGCTTCAAGGCAAGTCGCCTCGTCCACAGACTAAGCCCATTCAGCAATGCCATGCTACGTCAAGTGGAACGACGAGGCAATGCAGCTTCCCCTGAGCGCCAGCATCTAGATAGCATGCATGGAGGTATTGTCCATCGCAAACTTTTGTCAGCTATACAAGTGCAATTACTTGCTAGATGTAGGCTTTCTCAATTAGGGGTGTCTCGCGTAGCGGTTCTCCATGACCAGACCAACACGTTCGCCAGTGTCTCGCAAGAGGCTATGGATGATATTGATTACCAGAATTACGACGCAGACGGCGTTTGGCATGGCGGGCTTAACAACAGGCGCAGCTACGTTACTAGTGATGCCGCGGATGGGGTGGGCAAATATAGCATTGGAGAGGACCTGTTTCAGGTACACCGAAGTGCGCCGAGCAAATACAATCGTGTGTTCCAGCATCGTGTTCTTGAACCTGGTTTCATTGGCGAACTTCTACACCCGCAGGGACTCAACTTTTGTGTGCGAGCCCGTACGTGGATGCGCCCGTGGACCTTTCCACAACTGCATTCATGGATAATGTTGCCCACAAGGTGCTAAGTGAATCGAGTGGCATCCGGGCTTCGAGAGTGGACGAGGCCAGTCAACAACTTGCCAAGCACTTCTGGACTGTAGGAGGCACGCTGAATCACGACAAGCAGCAGGTCGCACCGAGATGTGTGGGCCACGGTGCCATCACGCATACGAGAACGCTGTCTGCCATAGCGACATTTGCTGGCAGTCTGGCGCCGTCAGCCCTTTATTTGGGCATCCAGTTCTCGCACTCTAGCCAGGGTGCCCACTGCCTGCTTGAAGCACATGCGCAAGGCCTGGCACAGCATGTGCCGTTGTTGGTTTGCGCGGAACGTCCCTTCTCACCTCAAACGTCTTCCGAATAATACCAGTTTTTAGCAAGTGGGCTCAGAGGGCTCGAATCGTTCGTCCTCATCGCTAGTGGTGATCGTCTCCTGGACTCGAACGTCTCGGGCTGGGGCAAGAGCAATATTTGGAGTAAGAGCCGTCATTTTTCAATCATGAAAAAGCACTCGCAAGCTGACGGACCCGTCACACAGCGAGAACATCCATCCAGAACGGCTTGGCGCCTTATAGGCCTCGTTCCCTCTCGACTGGAGCTTCGCATTCGCAGGCTAAGTTGTTTACAAAACTTGGCAGCGCATCGCGAAACAGCGCATCGCGAAAATAATCTCCAGTTGCTGGCCGCTGTGTTTTGGCGCCTTCCAGCTGAACAGCACAATTCGGTCGAGCATGGGAAGCTGGTGCGCAATGCGCACGGCGGGTACAAAGGGAGCCCATGGGGCTTGCAGGCTCTCAATGGCCTCTGAGGTATATGAAACACGTTGAACAGGGACCTGAACTTCTTCATATATTAGCTGATGGCCCGCTTTGAGTTTTGGGTGATGGGTTTCAAAGCGGATTTGTTCAGCTGAATTTAGGGAGGATCTCTCCGGAAGCGATATTGGAAGGGCAAGCTGGGTGGAGGATCTGACTATGTAGGCCAGGACCAAGAAGCGGGAGGAGGGCAACTTCAGGGACAAGGAGGTGATGGAGAAGTTGGGGGAGGAGGGGGTGATGAAAGCGCTTCTGAGGCACTGGCGGGGCCACCTGAGGGCACTCCTGCTCCTGTCTGGGTGTGCGAAACGCTCCTTGAAGGTGTGACCCCGTGTGGCCTCGAATTCCAGGATCGTGCTGCATAGTATGCAGACATGCACTTTGCACAGGGGGGGCACCCATTGGCACAGAGCCCTCAGCAATGTCCTCGCGAGGACCAATCAGTGCCCCTGGTACATGTCAGTCCTCCCTGATCGGCCCATTGCTCGTCAGCACGCTCGAAGGCTGTTTACCCCCCATCGGTGCACAACAAACTGGGAGCATTATCACTACTCCGTTGTCCAGCCCGAATCCTTGTCGTGTCGTGTGTGTGGTCGTGCTCATGATGGTGTTGAGGCGCTTCATATTCACATCCGAAAACACAGAACCTTGGGATCCTCCGCCAACTTCACATTCGAGAGACTTGCTGATGAGTTGGCTACCAGGGGAGCCGTCGCAACAAGTGATGATGGATGCAAAGAAGCGGCTAGCGAGCTCTCAGGACAACTTCTCCGCTGGTGGTTACAGGAAGCTCGCAAACATCAACGCAACCGTCGAACTCAGCAGGCGGCACCGTCAGCGGGTCCAGCATCAGGAGCAGCTGCAACGGCGGAGGCGATGAACTGCCGCATGCCGAACGGCACCATCCCCAATGCAAACTCAGTGGAACAGCACAGCAGTCTATGAAGGCGGTAGGGGAACAGCATACGGTCCAGGCGGGCGCACCATCGCTGGCAGTGGGAATGGCAGTGATGGACGCCCTTCTCAGGCAGCCAACAGTTAGAGAATCAAATCCATTTCATGCGGGGTTTCAAAGGTTGACCGCGCTGGTGGAGCGCAGTCGTGCCGATAAGATGGAAATGGCAGCATAATATATCAACGATTGGGGGGCCGAAGCGACGTTCGCCAAGGAGGGGGAGAACGTGCGAGGCCGTTACACGTTTTATATCCACGCGTTTGTGCCGACTGAAGAGCCACAGAAAATGATGATCGCCACAGCCAGTTGACTGATCCGCAAGCTGTTGGCGCTCCTCGGGTCGGAGATCAAACCAGCCCCCCCCCGCCGCGGGCCATGACGGAGAGAAGGTCCAACATTCTCAAGAGAAGATGCCATGAGGCCGCAAACACAAGAAGTACTGAGGCCCCCCAGTGAACCAGGTAAGGCTCGTGCCCGACCTAGGCAGCCTGTTTCAGAGCGAGGTAGAATTGTTTTATCTGGATCTTGGGCCCCACCAGAGGCCAAACCCAAGCGTAGGCCCCGTAAGGGCAAGGGCAAAGGTATAGCAAGGCTTGACGTAAGTCTGTAATTCAGTACTGAAGGCCATTTGACTTGGATGCATTCCTCCTCTCCTTTATCCCTCCGTCCCTCTCGCCTCCGTGCCCTCATGTGCTGTGCCTCCGTGTTCTTGCCATCCCTCTCCATCCCCTCCTCCGTGGTGTGCGAGCTGAGATGCCTGTCTTCTCACTCCTGGGACCTATGCCAAAGACACACTATTCGGGATGACTTCGGTAGGCGTTTCGACCCTAACGTTATCCAGGGTGTCTCCATTGACTGGATCACCAGTCGTGGCGGGGGTACCGAACTTTGAAACGATTTCGGGGGGGCACTCTTGAGGCGCACAGCGGTCGTCATGAAATATCTGTCAGGATGCAGCAGGGACCGGAGGCTGAGTGCAACCACCTCCTCCGCCTCCTTCTCCCCATGCCTCTCTTCCACCCTTCCTCGTCCTCCTCCCTCCTTGTCCTCCTTCTCCCAATCCTCCTCCTCCCAACTCCACCCATCCTCCTCGGCCCCCCTCTTCCCTTCGCCTCACATGTCCTCTCTCCTCTTCCTCCTTCTCCTCCCATCTCCTCCCTCCCTCCTCCATCCTCCCCATTCTCTACACCGAAGGCAGAATGTGCCCAACCCCATCTCCACACGAGGCGACGATTTATATCAACACCCAAATGTGCGTGACAATCGACTCAACTACACCTCCCAGGAGCCCACGGAAGGGGCAACAATTGGCCAGTTGGCAGCCTCCCAGGGGGTGGCGAAGTCTCGTGAGACTACCGCCTCCGCTGGACCTCCCAGGAGCCCATGAAAGCGGCGACAGTTGCGCAGTTCGCAGGAAGCAGGAGGAGGGAAGAGGAGGAGGAGGCGGAGGAGGAGATAGGGGAGAAGGAGAAGGAGACGCGACCGCAGTGCTTGTTCTTTTCACAACGAGAAATCGGCACGGGAGGGTTGATAATAAAGTGGGACGCAGGAGGTAGGAGGCGAAGCGGAGGAGGGGGAGGAGAAGGAGGAGGAGGAGGAGGAGGAGGAGGAGGAGGAGGAGGCGGGGGAGAAGGAGGAGGACGACGACGAGGAGGGGTAGGAGAATGGAGACCACAGTGCTCTATCCAGCACGAGAACCCAACACAGGAGGGTCTGGAAAAAAATAGCCACCCAGCACGAGCAGGAATCTTCGGGGGTCCGCGCGCCGGAGAGGGGTTGGCGCCGAGCCCCTCGACGTCGCCCCCTCGGGGGCTGAGGCTCGATGATCCCAGACACCCGAAGCCTTGGCAGAAATCCACACTGAGTATCGTTTATCCGATCCCCATCCCCACCGGCGTGGCCTGGGCTCCACTGGCCGATTTGCCCCCCTGGATGGGGATGTAGGCCGTCCCCCGCGGGCTTCGAGGGGTGTATCCCCCATCTGGGGCGGTCATTTGGCGGGGGTCTCGAAGGGGATGAGGATGGGGATGGGGGTCGGATCAACGCTACCCACGCAGGGAGGAGCTCCGCCATCCTAAGACCCTGGGGGCCCCAGCTTGCCGTGTGTTCTGGAAACTAAGAAAAATCATTTGGAGTGATCGTTAGCACATTGCTCAAAGAAGACCTACACTTCCCTTACTTCGTGTTATCGTCCTTCATGCTATTCGATTTCTTCCTCCTTCTCAAGCTTTTCCAGGTTCTAACCTACGACCGGTTGTTCCTGCAATACACCTGGACGACTAAGAAATATCAGGGCAGATGCGGGTCTTGGTCCCCTCCCAGACCTCCAGCGCATGGAAACAAAACCGGTGTAATTCAAAGCTTTTGGCTGGGGCCTTCGCCGTGCCCTGGGACCGTCCCAAAAAAGGACTCGGGACGCAAAGCAGCCCCCGGGTCGGGACGCCTCGGGGCCCCTGTGCCGCACAAAAAAGCCTCGGAGGGGCTTTCCACCCCAGGAACCCCCCAAAAGATGGCCCCCAAGACCTCCAACATGCCCCACGAGGCCCCGGGAAGCTTCCTTGAAGTTCCCAACAAAAAACAAAAGCCCTGAAAAGTCTTCAAGAGACCGCCGTAGAGGCCCCCAAGAAGTTCCACAACAGATCTGGAGAAAGAAGAGGCCAAATCAGCACCAATTAAACGCAGACAACACGACGGGACGAACTCATGAGCCGGACATCTTCTTTCTGGGGGCCGGCGGAATAGCGTATCGAATCTCTGGGCTTTCTCCAAGACTGGCTTTTCATCTTGCGCCATCTTTTAAATTCCCAGGGGGCAGGGAAAAGGCCCCAGGGGCCGAACACGGCGACAACACCTCCAGGGCCTCTGCTCCCTCCAGGCCGGCTTCATGCCATGCCGACGTCGGTGAGGACAGCACAACCCACCCCCACCCCCACCCAGGGCACCCACCTCCGACCTGGTGGTCCAGGGTGCCCTGGGTGGGGGTGGGGGTGGGTTGTAAGAGCCGCGGGGCCTAAAAACACACCCCCACCCCCACCCAGGGCACCCTGGACCACCAGGTCGGAGGTGGGTGCCCTGGGTGGGGGTGGGGGTGGGTTGTGTCCTCAGGAGCCCATCGAAGCGCCAGCGTGCTGAAAACCTGGCCGGACGACAGGGGGGGGAAGGGCAGGTCAGCGACTCCGCCGCATGCGGCGGGTCTCAGGGCGCCTCCGCGCCTCCCGTCGCCAGGGGGGGGGGGGCGCCGGCGTCACGAGGAGGAGCCCAGCGGCGGGGCCGACACCGGCTGCATGCAGCAGACATCATCCACCCCCCCGCTCGCTATACGCCCTCCCCCGCTGCAGAGGCCTCCCAAAGGGGGTTCGGGGACGGACAGACCTCCCTTTAGCAAAACGTGGTTTAGTGAAAACGACCTCGGGCCCAAACCTGGCGGGCGCAAGCCTGGAAAATAACGGCCACGGCGCCCTCTCGAGAACCGAAAAACGGACAATTCACTAATCGACGTGTCACTGTTGGGGGTTCTGTCCACCCCCGAGGGGTCCCAGTAGGTGGGGTCGGAGGACCGCGCCGCATGGCCGATACATCGCCGATGCATCGGCGACGTCGAGGATGCACCGGCGCCGTCATGCGTTGAGAGCATCGGCCTCCACATCGAGCCGCATCGAGCCGCATCGCCGATGCAGCGGTCCTGGCGATGCGGGGCAATCCTCCGAGCCCACCTGCTTAGGCCGCATCCGGGAAGCCTACACCCCCGACATCCGACGACAGGAGCTCTTCTCAATGCGCCGCCCCAGAAGGCCCCGACCCCTTCCCAGGGGGCAGTTGCTCGCCCTGGACCCATTCTTGGCGGCCCCGGGGCCCGATTTGGCGGCGGGCCCGGGAGGGGGGACACGAGGAGGGGCGGGGCTTTCCCGGAGGGCTCGGAAGTCCCCCTGCCATTCTGGCAAGTTCTCCAAGCCTTCGATCGCGGACGCAGAGATATTCTTGTTGGTGTTGGTGTTCGTGTCAACCTCTGGGCCCGAGATCGTCTCCAGAGGGCCGAAGGGCTTCCGCGAGGCCCCGCCGCCTCCCGAGAAGCCCTTCGCCTCCTCATTTCCCCCGCGCCCGCCGCCGACCGGTAGTAGTGGGCCTCAGAGGGCCCCAATCGCGGGAAGCCCGCTGGCTGAACAGAGCATCACTTAGCCTAGCCAGATGTCTGCGACCACTGGGACCGGCGCCCGACCCGCGAGGCAGGGCTGAACCTAAGCGGTGTGTTTCGTGTTCGTTTTGCTTTCGTTGTCGCTCGCTTTTGTCTCGGTGTCGTTAGTCGTGCTCGTTCTGTTTTGTTTTCGTTTTCCCTCGCTCTTGTCGTTTTCGTTCTGCCTCGCTCTTGTCTCGAATCCCCCGTTATACCGCAAAACGAAATCGAAACGAGAACGGCCCACGAAATCGCCAAAAACACCGTTGAGGTCCAGCCCTGCCGCGAGGATTATGGAGGCCCTCGGCCTCGCCGTGCTGGCCGTCTTCGACTTGGCCGTGCCGGCCACCTTGGACCTCGCCTGGCCCCCCGCCTTGGACCTGGCGGCGGGCGGGGGGAAGGTCGAGGGCAAGTCGAGGAGTGGGCAGGGTGGGGAGTAGGCGAGGAGGCAGGCCAAGAGAGGACGCGGGGCGAAACTCACATACAATAATAATGCGAACGATAATGCTGACACGAATGCGGATACCAATCATTACACAGTACACGGGCACTGAACATGGGAACAACAATGAGACACATGTTAACACGAATACTGATAATCGGAATAAGAAATATGACCCAGTGACGTACCCAACCCTTTTCTATCGGGGAGACGTAAGACTCCGGTACGGGGGACTCGGGTTGGCCTGACGGAGCCATCATGAAACTGACGAGACCCAATCTGATATTTGACGCGATCTCCAACTGCAAACATCCCACGAAAGCTGGACCGTCAAAATCCAGGACGCGCTCATCAAAAAACGTCGGCAAACCGGAGATCCGGCTTACTCGAGTCTTACGTTTCCCCAATTCTAACACGGGGCAGTTACACAAGGACCGCTCGACACAAACAAGCATGATGAACAACGAACACCTCGCAGCCACCCAGGGAGCCACAAAGTGTGGGCTGGGTCCGCGTGAACCTCCGCTCCGCTGGACCTCCCAGGAGCCCACGACACGGAAGCCTGCTGCGCGGTCCGCAGCCCCCCAGGGAGCCACAAGGTCTCGGCCGGATCTGCGTGGACCTCCACTCCGCTGGACCTCCCAGAAGCCCACGAAAATCGCGAGAATTGCACGGTTCGTAGCCCCCACAGGGCCCGCGAGGTCTCGGCAGATCCGCGTGGACTTCGACTCCGCTGGACCTCCCAGAAGCCCACGAAAAGGGTGACAGTTGCGCGGTTCGCAGCCCCGCAGAGAGCCGCGAGGTCTCGGCAGGTCCGCGTGGACTTCCACTCTGCTGGACCTCCCAGGAGCCCACGAAAGCGGTGACAGTTGCGCGGTTCGCAGCCCCGTAATGAGCCGCGAGGTCTCGGCAGGTCCGAGTGGACCTCCACTCCGCTGAAACTACCAGGAGCCCGCGAAAGCGGAGGCAATTGCGCAGTTCGCAGCCCCGCCGGGCCGGCGAGGTGTCGACGAGGGAAAGGACAACTAAACTGGAAAGAGAGGGGGGCTGGGAGTGGACGAAGGGGATGCGGAGAGGAGGGAGGAGGGAGGCGGGATGAGTAGGAGGTGGGGCCCACGCTGCTCAATTCAAAACGAAAACACAACCAAGGGAGGGTGGGAATGTTAAGAAGAAGGGAGGGGCGAAAGCATCCTCGCGCCGTGGAAAAAAAACGCGACGGGGAGTTTTAGGCAACGTTCGGCCTACTGGCGCCCCTTGGCCCCTCACTGCGCCTCACAAAACGAACTGCTCGGGATGAGAAGCTGGCCACGAAAACTAAGTCCAAACCTTCCAGGGCCGCGTCATGACACACATTACGGCACTGTGCGCCTGTGAGCGGGATGGAACAGGCCCGATGAGAAAGGGGGGGAAGCGGATGGAGGAGGGAATTGGCGGAGGAGTTTGACAGGCTATGGCATATCCCCAGAGATCCGACGATCTGATTTGCTCAACGCGCGGGCCAACAAGCCCCGACCCCTTCCCCGGGGCTAGTTTCTCGCCCCAGATCCCTTTTTGATGGTCCAGGCGACCGATAAAGGACCCCAGAGGCCCAAATCGAGGAACACCCGCCAGGACTGAACAAAAACATCTCCTCGAGGATCTAGAATTGAAAGAGGAGTAAAGATAGGCGATGGTTGGGACGCAGGACACACTGGTACTGTGTGTCCTCCTCGGAGGCGTGCCCCCAACTCGAACCACGTTTACAACAATGCTGTCGTGAATCGCCTACCGAGCGGTACGGCCAGGAAGCGCCCGCCACAGAGCTGATACTGTTTCTCGGCGCCCGCGTCGCCCCAGGGGGGGGGGGGGGGGGGGGCGACGCACACTTTTTGGTCGGCGGCCGCGCGACTACGGTCTGGCGGCAACAAGCGTGTCCGCGACGGCGGTAAAGGCTAATTGCGCTAATTGCACACAAGGTGCGGTCGGGGCGACGCACACACGCAGTGTCCGTGTGTTGGCGGGGCGCCGTCCGGCATCTCCGCGCCTTGCGGCACCCGCCCGCCGCCCGCCCTCGCCGATCGGACGCCTGTGCGCCCGACCTGCGGCAGGCTGCCGGGCACCCCTTGCTGGACAGGGCGAGGCTTAAGTCGGGCGTATCCCCCTACAGTGGGATTTTCGAAGAAAAATAAGAAATACTCAAACAATGCTCCCAAATTGCAAAAAAAAACACTCAAACAATAACATATTTTTGAATAGTCCCCCTGTAGAGGCACAGGCCCGACTTAAGGCGAGGCTCCCCGTGGGCACAGCGCCACATCCTCGGGCTCGCGCTGCCCCCATGGGGCGCCCACGGGGCCCCTCCCCTTCCCGGGGGGGGGGGGGGCACGCCTGCCCGGAGCTCCCAGGAGCTGACTCTTCGAGCCCGGGCGCTGCTCTTCGATGTGGGCCTCCGAGGGGCCCGTGGTCGGGCCGCGGGGCGGTTGAACATGAATCTGGGGCGGAACGCTGGGAAGAGGTCGGGACCTCCTGTTGGAGGCCTGGAGATGGGCACCAACACCAGCACAGGGGGTTGTCTCCACGGGGGGGAGGATGATCCTAGATTTCGGTGTCGGTGGTACGATTTCGGCCACCTTGGAAGCCAGAATACTGCCACCAACACCGAGATCGGGACCTTCTTCCCCTGTTGGAGGCACACCACCGAAATTGGTGTTAAATTGGTGTTGGTGTCAACCTCTAGGCTTAGGTCGGGCTTGTCCCCCTACAGGGGGACTGTGGGCGAAAAAATATAAATACGCCACAAATACCCCCTAAATAGTCAAACAATCATAGAACAATCGTCCCCATATTATTTTGTGACTATTCTTGAACATTCCTCCTGTAGAGGGACAGGCCCGACTTAACTCTAGGCCTGCGATCCTGGGGCCGCGGGCTGGCAACATCATCTTGGCGGATGCCACAGGGCGGCGGCCCCGCTGGCCGCCTCCGTTGCAGGCAAGGAAGGGAGGGTCCAGGGGGTCCGCGCTGGGCCCCCTCCCCGCGGGGGCCGCCGCCCCAGGCCCTCGACGCCATGTCTCCTATTGCACAGGGCTGAACCTAAACGGTGTTTTTCGTTGTCGTTTTGTTTTCGTGTTCTCTCTCGCTCTTTGTCTCGAGTCCGCCTTTGCACCCAAAACGAAGTCGAAACGAAAAAGGGCCCACGAAATCGCCAAAAACGCTGTTTAGGTCCAGCCCTGATAATGCAGGCGCACAGAGCAGCCGAGAGCCGACGCCTGCGCACCGAAGCGGTGCTCTGTACGCGGGCACAAATCTTTCGCGCCCGCGCCAGGCCTGCGCGCAGGCGGGCCAAGACGGGCCCGCGGCCTCCTCCTCCTCCTCCTCCTCCTCCTCCTCCGCCTCCTCCTCCTCCTCCTACCCGCTCGACGCACGCCGTCCCGCGTGAAAGGGGCGCGCGGCCCTTCCTCGGCGCGCCGCCCCGCGAGAAAGGCGGTGCGCGCGCACCGCCCCCCCGCGCGTTGGTTTGCTTGACTACCCTTTTTCATGTTTGGCGGCTTGCGCGGTCGCAGCTCCGTGCAGGCGCGACGCGGCGACGGCGCGTGGGGGGCAGATCGCGGCGCACCTCGGTGCGCGCGCGCGCGTCGCAAGTCTCGCCGCGAGGCGCCGCCACGGCAGGCGCTCTCTTCCGCTGTGGGC